CAGGTAGATAAACGGGTGCGGTGGAAACGGAAGGCATAGCTTGGTCGCGTGGGTTTTCCATCATTTCTGCCAGATACTCTTGAATAACCTCTACCTCGGTAACTACATTTTTTTTGTCTTGATACTCTCCATTGATAATTTATCGTCGCCAGCAGGAGTAATTATTCCGATAGCATCACCTTTCTTTATCATTACCTTTTTATTAGTTGCATTAGCAATAACTGTTTCTGCTACTCTGGTGGTATGGATAATTGTCGGGCACAACATTACGCCATTTACTGCACTGGCATATGCAGGAACAAGCATGTGCACCATCTTAGTATTATCTAAGACTGTAGGTTCCGCGTATCTGAGAGCTGCGATGCTAATCTCCCAAGGATCCAGAATCAAGTCCTCATTCAACTTCACTATTTTGTCACCACTCTCCCCACCTGATAATACTATCTGCATTATTCTATTGCTATTACCCAATTTTGACGCCGTAGGATTTATTCCAGTTCCCTCGTGCGTATCGATAATAATTTGCTCTACTACCACTTCACTGTCGTCTTCATCTAAGATTTCGAAAATCAATTCCTTACGAGATACATCTAACATGGCGTGTGCTCCTTCGAAAAAATCAATACCCAAAATCAGGGGGAAGTTATCTAGATCTGCTACGATAAACGTATGGCTGACTTCTAATTCCACAGAAAACAAAATAGCAACATTTCGTATTAACCCCATGGCGCTTTCCTTAGCCCTTCCTGCAAAACTCAACGATAGTCCAGGCACTTTTTCGATACGATTTTCCCATTGTAACTCCTTGACTACTTCATACGGAATAATAGAGGCATTTGCACCAGGGTCCAATAGCGCATCGTAATCTCCTTCACCTATAGACATTTGAACCACTTGGAGTTCAGTACCACTAGCACCCGGATTGTTACGATCTGTGAATGATTTTGTGAAAATCTGATTTCTTTGTACAACATTATGGATATTATTGTCTACTTTCCTTACGGGATTGACATCAGCTAGCGTCGCCGTAGCTAACGATGATGAAGCATCGCTGGGAGTGGCCAATGTCGGTGGCACTATTGTTCCACTAGTAACATTACTAACAGATTTATTACTAGCAAAACCTAAAGCTTCTTTCGCTTGTTGATTGTGAGATGGACACAAGAAAAGGAATTCCGCCAAAGGAAGGGTCACCGTCAAGGACCTCAAGTATTCCGCAGTGTTGAATTTTTGGTCCAGTTTACCTTCTTTGTTGATCAATAAGGGATGTTTCTTAGTAGCTTTGTTTACTTGAGATGGCCGTGGTAATCCTTGAGCTAATGCTTCCTTGTCTAACAACGCTATCTCCTTCTTTCTAGCACGTGCTTTAGCTAGTTGGATAGCTCGTCGTGCACGTTTCTGAGTCTCCCATTCTTCAGCGGATAACATATCAACGTCTTGTTGCTCAGTTTCTCCGTTTACTGCATTTATAATATTTGTAGGATTTTGTTCACTGGTTAAGGTGATATTTAAAATTGGGACACCGTTACCTACTGGCGGTGTCCTTCCCGAAAATCCTGGTTTTGTGCTTGAGTTTTTCTTGGCTTTCTACATCCACTAGCTGTGTGATTCTCATCACCACAGTTACCACACGAGGACGGACAGTTTCTTTGTATATGGCCTTCTTCATTGCAGTTGTAACATACTCGAGATGAAAAGGATCCAGAGTTAGTGTTGCCGGTCACTGAGGATCGTGGAACTTTCAAGGTATCACCATTGCCTTGAGCTTGTTGATTAGCTACTTCTTGAGAATTACCATTGGATTCTTGCACTCTTCCATTATTGTTACGGGGAGCGTAAGTGGGCTTTCTAACATTCTCACTACTAGATACATTGTTAATCTGTAACATATTCATGTTTTGTTGTAGCTGAAAAAGCTCCCATTGCTGCTTGATGGTGTGTAATTGTGCGGTGTTTACGTTATAAATATCAAATCCATTACTGTTACTAGCGGTACCATAGGATGTATTACTTCCAAAGCCGTTGTTCATCAAAGGGGCCAACGAGACACGTAACTCTTCTCTCATAATCCAATCTGCTTGAGCTAATTGGGCTCTCAAATCTTCTAATGAAGTAGGTGCCGCACGTAAGTTCCTTTGAGTTACCAAATTTAAATTTTGTACCACATCTGCAACTAAAGTACTCTCTTCGTAATTCTCTGTTTTGTTAAACTTCTTGAATAGATTTACTTTTTCTTTAATATAATTAACTGCATCTTCATTAGGGCCTTGCACTCTTCTATTGAAAGCCATTCTAAGCCTGTACTTGGTGGCGTTAGTTAAAAAGTGATTGACGAACATGTACACAAAGGATCCTTCTTGATCTTCGGAGCCATAAGCAATGTCTGACCAACTCGTTCTGCGAAACCATGATAAGGCAGTATCTCGTAAGTGAGATCCAATCACAGCGATTTTCTCTTTGTCCTGAGCACTAGTAAGAGAAGAGAATGTGGGTAGATAGGATATTTGTTCTAAGAAGTCATAAATACTTTCACTTGTATCTAGATATTCTCCACTGAAGGGGATAATCATAGAACCTTGTACACTATTAGTTAAATAAACAGGCATTGGACCTGGATACATCATAGGCATGGGTTGAGGGTACATTCCATACATTGTCGGGTTACTCATAAACTGATTGTTCATGTTGTAAACTTGGGTTGGGGATGCTTGGTTAGTGAGATTTTGTTGTTGAACCTGTTGTAGGAACTGTTGAAACTGTTGTTGTTGTTGCATAATATTTAAGACGAGCGGTTGTATTTTTTTACGAAAGGATTGTTATTATTTAAGTCAAAGCGCCCAGCTACTCCACCATGTAATGTTGGCCGGGAATTGACAGTCTCTGATCGTAAGATGTTGATTAGAGATATATTTAGACTGGTTTCAGGCTGTAGCTTGAATAGAGATACGTTTTCTATAGTGTATTCTAACGGATTACGTCACAATGAAGTCGAAGTTTCTGATATATGTCTAAGTTTAATCCCTTTTGAGTCAAACTGGCTTATCCTGCGCTTTATTCTGAAAAGGCTAATAACGACCAAAAATTATAAAATGGAAAGAACTATTGTTTTATTATTGCTGTGTAATTCGTTAATAAACTCAATTGAGTTACACAAAAGATCTTTTAGCTAAGCTCAAATTCTTCACAGACCTATAAAAGCGGGGATAGATTTTTTTTTTTTTTTGAAAAGCAGCTTTTCTTTCGTGTGCTTTAAAATGCCATTCTTCATACAAACAACATCGCGTAATGTCCAAGAAAGGTCAAGCAACACAGCCTTACACTTTATACAACACACAAATATAAACTATTTGTGTCCACTTTATGCAAACTATATTCGACTCAAGGAAAGCCATTATAGCTTTTATTGGCGCATTCTTTTAGCCCAAGACAGTGAGTGCTTTAGCCTACCTGCTTGTAACATGGACTTTTGACGACCTGAAAAGTAAAGGTTAAAATTGTCTTGCTAACAATTTCTTTTTTCTTTAAAGAGCGATTCTTCCAAGTCAGAACTTTTTATGATTACCATAACAATTTTAAAGGTGGATGCTTCTTTCAAAGAACCACTTTACAAAAAAAAAAAAAAGGATCTGCAGCAAGACAACCATTCTTTGTAACAGTAATGCCATCAGCACATGGGTTCAACAGCGTTTCTACTATACTGCATAAAGCGTGTACAGTAATGGCCAAGGAAATACCCTTTAAAGATGATATCGCATTGACCTTGTTGAGGGTATCATACCCAAGGAGTGTTTGAGAGAATTGCTGAAGACTCATCGACAAATTGAAGCTTGAGTACTTTTCGCATAAAAAAAAAGTGAAGGTGAAGTTTCTCTTATAAAAAGTAGCGTGTGCGCTGAGGATATCATTATAAATTGATACCATCGTAAGCTTTGTGTATTCCATCGTATAAAGATATTCACTTTCTTGATGGTGTGCTTCTTTTGAATTTGAGAGATGAGGCTATCAAATTAGATGAATTGCCTTGGCTAGAAGTGCTTATTGCGCTTAGATTTTAGATTTTTACCAACTTTATATTTAATGTGCATGATTTAGCATTTGCTTCTACAATATCTCCACACTTGAATGTATCAGAAAACCACAAATTTTCAAGACATGACAACTCTTCTTTCAATAAAAACCAATTATTGGAAGAGCGAGCATGTTTCTAGAAAGGGATTTTAAAAACCATTTTGCTTTGGTCACTTTTTTTTTTATATATATTAACGTCTTTCAGACTTAACTTGTCTTTGGAATTTTTAAACGTAGGTACACAAATTTTGTATTATGCACGGAACGAAAGCACCTATTTTATAATGAACAATTTTCATCAAAACGGACAATTTCCATATAAAGAATAATTAGAAAATAGAGCTTTGATATCTGTCTTGCTTCTCCAACTTACCCCGAATTAGACAAAAAAATGCAGCTTGTAAGAGTTATTCAATAAGTTTACTACATTTTAGATGTTTCTGATCCTCAGAATTTTGACATGTGCAAGAAGAATCATAGACTCACATTGATTAGGCCGCGCATGCTTTGTAAACAAAATAAATAATTTCAGGTCAGGCCCGAAGTAACAGAATTTTTCATAACCAACATAGTGTAAACCAGCTTATGTGTTTTACAGCTTAGTTTCAGCTTCTCGTTTGGACTTTACCATAATACTTCTGCGTAAAAGATTAAGATCAAACCAGATTAAAGGCAAAAGAGCGATGATAGAACTGTCAAAACAAGTACAAATAATGCAATATACATCTATTCGTAGTTACCATAATGTATTTTAATTGGTTATTCTTGTTTTCAGGTCTACAGAACAGCCAAATCACATGTCTTACGTTTTGACCACGTGCACTTTGGCTGTACCTTAGGAAAATTTCAAACTGGAACAAGTTACCTATCGAGATCTTGACCGAGATCATTGATCTTGCTTTGGGCAATGATGAAACAAACACATACAATGCATGTTAATTTCCAAACACTGGTATATGGTTAGCCGAACTATAATCTACAGGAATGTAACTTTACGCGAAATCAGCCAATTCGAGCTGTTTGTTACAAGCATGTTCAATTCGTCCAGCGGTCAATTAGTCAAACAGGTTGAATTGTTATTCGATGACAAGCACCAACTGGAGCTCAACTTGGGACGATTATTCAAATCATGTCCAAATATCACCTCTCTGAAACAAGCAGAATTAAAAAAAGGTTCGTTTTATGCCAAATTGCTTTTGGAAGTCTTGACCGGAAGCGGAACCAAGCTAAAAAGAATGCCTGCTTACGATTTCACACACCCCCATACTGTTCGTAAATATGGGCATGCAACATATGCGTTGAAAGATACACTGGAACATATACATCTTTGTGATTACTCTACGACCAAGGCCACCTTTAAGCAAAATGAGACACTAAACCAGCTGCCGATATACAAAAATCTGAAGTCAATTAGTTTTGGACTGGCAAATCATAGCAACTTTTTCGTGGTCTTGGAAAAGCTACAATATTGTTACTCCTAAACCTCTGTATGCATTTTCGCTTCATATGACTATAATGGTGTAGAAAAACATCTGGGCATTGCAGAACCTTTTCATTTGCAACCTCTCTTTAATGTCCGGTCTCTAAAAATAGGCGAAATGCTGACAATCAACTCCACACTTACACAGTACGTTTTGCATTTATTCCCAAACGTAAAATCATTTAAATACGCTGATGGTGATTCAGAAGATATATTCCACCAGAATAGTGTTCAACAATCATCCCCAGAAGAATGGGAACGCATGAATACACAGGGAATAGAAATACATAATGAACTTTGGATACAATTCTTGACGTTAGTGGCCTCAATGACAGTCTGCACGATACCCTTCCTGTTTGTAAAGGACGTTGAGGTCTTTTCCAAGGTACCCAACTTGTATGAAAACCTCCATATAATAATGGATGAACGGACATCTGAACTCGATAGGGACTTAAAAATATATTATGGCATCTTTTACAACACCACTGGCAAAAACAATATTCGTAATATGCATCAAAAAGACAATTATGCACGCCATATTGTCTTGCATTCTGACAGAAAAATATGCCTTGTTGACTGTCCAAAGATAAACGCGATCAAGGCTCTTGGGCCCAACTTAAAAGCATTGGATTTTGATGCTGGTTCACAAGGCGATGTAGACATACGTTTAGATGCAGATATTGAAAATTCGGTAGAAGGTAATCTGTTCGATCTTATTTCGGATTACTGTCCTTATTTAGATACATTATGGGTTGCAGACAGCACATTCCATCATAAAAAGCAACATACTGTCAAGCCAATCCAATCTCTGGAACGGATCAAATTCAGATATTGTAAATTTGATGAAGACTATCTGTGCCAGCTGTCTAGCCGCTTACCGAGCAGGCTACAAATTGTGGCTTTTATTAACTCTTCCATACGCAATAAGGAATTTGGCATGTCATCACTATATGATGTGATTAATATGCCCAATACTTCTTTTAGTACTCTGTTGTGGAAATCAGAATTTTATGATGATCTTTATGATGAACCCGATCTCAAAGACAGGGAAATATTTTATATCAAATTAACAAAGAACAAGACTTCGCCTGTCTTTTATAAAATCTCCACAAATAATCAACTGGCAGTATCTTCGTTTTTAGAATTTGAAACTTCCAAGGGAAATAATATAGTCCAAACTATTGATATACGTTGTTTTGATATCAAAATGTTGGCAATCAAATTACCATTCCTTCAATCCCTTCTTCGCATAGAAGAACAGCCCATCATTTGTGACGACAAAAGTTATATGGACTTACCTGATTTTAGTTTGTTCTATTCCGACTTTTAGATACTACTAAATAAAATCACTTGTCGCTTTACAAATACATACCAAGACTTCATTTTGTGCTCTATATAAGGCAGACGAACAGACGCTGGTGTGATTTTTTGCACAGTCGCTTTCAACTAAAAAATGTCATTCAAATAAGAACCTTAAACAATTAACTATGTCTTTAATATATTTACGCTGAATCAATATTATTGAATACGACGAGTATTGGGTTTTGGCCTCGACTGTGGGTTCACCCAACGAAATTCAGGAACTGAAACAAGGCCTATCATCTTTTTCAAATGTTGTCTCTATTAAAAACTACCAATCTTATGTCATAATTTTAGTTGTAGCATAAAAATTCCTGCAATTCCAGGTTTATTCATAATATATATATAGAGTTACATGATTGATTTAATCTTCGGCTCTGTCGTATTTGGGTACGATTCACTTATGAATAATTAAGCAAATCGTTTAAATAAATAAACCATGAAATTAAAACAACCTTTGATGTTGCATATCAGCGTACGCCTGTATACTGCTATACAACTTCTCCTACTACGAGTTCATACTTCTATATTAAAGATTGCATGATTGGCCTAAATACGATATACGAATGACAGTTAAGTGCCGAATGTTATACCACTGAGTTACGATATCACCGATTGAGAAGAGAATCTTCTCAGATCAAATCAAGAATTATAAGAAAAGAAACTTAATATTAATAGATCTCTCAATGGATTAGCTACCCAGAGAGAGAATAGAACAGCTATAAATATAAATGGTTCATTTACTTATATATTGATATAATTATACTGCTGATAAAGAGTATAAAGAAATAGGGATGAATTAATGGATACCTAGCTTCTACAACGAAATATACAAATATCGATAAGACATTTTATATTTGGGATCGTAATTTATTCATTACAAAGATAATAAATAAATGATCAACTATTATGTTCTATTGCCAATTACACTTGACAAACAAGTATGCATCTATTACAGTAACCGTTGCATGATCCGAAAAATAGGTGCCTTGTAATACTAAAAATTTATTAGTATACTCGTACTCCCGATCCACCGATATGGGACAACATTAACTGAAAACAATTCTAACGAGTAGCATTCATTCAAACCAAGATGGGAAACAAAGTATAGATCTATTTCAAAGAGGAACTGTTGACTCATCATTACAACCCAAGAGAGTCGTGCAATATAAAAAGGATCAATTAAATATAAAAAGGATCAATTAAATATAAAAAGGATCAATTATTTTATAGCATCAGAGTTATTTTTAGTCTATTTTTACCCCGAATAAAAATTATTGTATCTCTTTATTTTTATACGTGTCATTTTTAACGAATACCTCACAAGACACTGCGTATTCTTTACCAGATTTAATCTGGCGAATGTTTTGATGTAAAAAGCGTCTGTCGTATATGACGCCTACTTCCACGAATATAATTACTTCTTAACTTATCACTTAATTATATTACATATGCCTATGTATAATAAGAACCCTATTGCGAATATATTTTTATTGGTTCGACACAGTACTAGCTCCCTCATATGTCAAACTGAGATTAGATTTTATAGCCGTTCCTGAATAGGTAGAGTAGCTGCCGAAGCTTCTAGTCTCTGTTAAGGATATCATAGTGGAATGAGAGTATGCGAGTAGTATAGGCGGGATAAAGAGGATTTCTTTAAATAAAATAGAGTTTAGAATTGCGAGTTGTAGGAGCACCACAGCTAGTTTATTCAGAAGCTGAAGTGATAGAAAATAAATGAAATTAATAATATAGATCAAATACTAATAAGCAAAAGATACAAGGATAAAGCATAATTGAAGGATCAATCAGAATGAGAATAGACCTGATTAATATATAAAACTAATAGGTCAAAGTATTGAAATATAAGGATTTTTATTTTCAGTTATCGCTATAGTAAACACAGTTTACATAGTGTATTCAGATGACCACATTCGCGCAACTTATGTTGAGTTTAGGTGCTTTACAGGTAAACATCTAAAAATCCTGTTCACTTTGCTTCAAAAATAATCTCTTTTAAATCATATTCTTCGTTTGTCTAAAAAAAGGTGAGTAAAATATCTTGGAATTCAACTTATTTATTCGCCCAGAAAAAAAACTAACATCATTTAAGTTCAAAATAGAAATAAATGTGGTTGTTACGACTATCTTGGTTCAATTTTGCATGTGCTACCAGCAAGGGTCGGCGCTATATCTGGCTCATGGCATATACTCACCAATATTAATTATAGTCTCTGCGTGTGTTACTTTTAAAAACCAAATTGTAAATTAATAAATTAATAAACTTGGACAGCAAAATTAGATGGTATCCCGCCCCCAAAAAAAAAAAATCGTTACTAGACGAGAAAATAGATAAAATCCAAAACTCTTACTCGTACATTCGAAGAAAACGTTCGTCCTTTTTTTTTTTCTTTCGATTTTTCGAATTCTGGAAATTTCTATGTTTCAAGATGCGAAATACATTTTTGGTAATACAAGTGGGATGCAAATCCCCCCAAACATGACATAATTTTTGCTCTCACTGCAAATGTTTGTATTTTATCCCAGGCTAAGCAATATTCATACAACGATTGGTCCGGGCAGCGATAGGGCCGAATAACTGAGTACAAATGTAAATGACGGAACTCCTAGCGTCGGTTTTTTGTTCCTCCGTGTATATGCTGGTATAAAAGGCCATATTTTTTTTTCGATTCTTATTTTTCTCATTTAGTGAATTTATTCAGAACTCTTACATTAACTTACCTTCATAAAATTTAAAAAAAAATGGATTATTTAAACACACTTGTTACCAACAATGCACCTATTCATAATGCTGTAAAACTCATCAAGCAGCTTCCTGTCACTCACAAATTGACAGACATGTATAGACGTTCCTCAAAGAACGAACTCATGTTTATAGGTGCTGCTACATTTTTAACCTTGTACAATCTTTCTGCATACATTAAGGCTAAACGTCAAAGATTAAACTTACCTCCCACGATTCCTTTTGCTCTTCCTATCGTCGGCCATTCTTTATATTTGATGTATACTCCGTCCAGATTCCTCGACTGGTGTAACGAAAAATACGGAGAAGTATACAACCTTAATGTCCTTGGTAAGATCATCACGGTTGCAAGCGGAAAATCAGCAGAAGAAGCTTTGGTTGCAGATCAGTCTGATTTATCTTTGGATCATGGTGTTGTAAGAGGTAAAAACAAACATATATATTTTACATTGTGAATCAGGATCATTGTACCAACGATTTAATTTTTACTTAGATCTTCTTCATCTCGATTATGTCTTTGACGAACCCACAATGGATATTGGAATGGTTGTCAATCCTTCTGTTGCCAAGATCGCTATTCCCAACTCAAAAATGCCCATGTATGTAAAGGATATTCAACAGGGAGTGCTTAACGCTTGTGATGCGTTATTGAACGAAAATCCCACCTTGATCAAACGTCCTAGTCCATTCTTTCAAAATTTCGTTGCTTACATGAGTGTTCCTTCTTTAATCGGTACCGAATTCGCTTTGAATACTGAGGTTATTGAATCATTTGCGCAGTTCACCGGCGATGTGATTAGTAATGTCGGTCTGTTCTTGGTGACACCCACCTTTTTGCACAAACTCGTATTGCCTTATGTTCAATCTTCTCAAAAGCACATCGATGTTATGGTGAAATATGTTGCACCTGTTGTTCGTGAACGTCGTGAGAAGATGAGACTGGCTGAAGCTGCTGGTCAAGAACATGGTTTAGTTGAGAACTTTTTGCAAGGTCTTATTGAATTTGTAAAGACGGATAAAGATGGTGTTCAGTCCCATTTGAGTCCAGAACAGATTTCACAATCAGTCCTGTTGATCGCTTTTGCCTCTGTACATACCACCTCCATGAACTTGAGTTTCTGTATCTATTGGTTGCTTGCTCGTCCCGATCTGATGGAAAGATTACAGTCCGAAATTCAAACTGTTCTTCCTGGTGATGGTCCTGTCACCCCCGAAGCACTTTCAAAGATGAAGTTCTTGAATAACTTTATGCGCGAAGTACTTCGTCAAGGTGCCGATAAAATCGCCAATGGTAAAAAAGCAATGTATGATTTTACTTTTTCCAATGGGTATCAAGTACCCAAGGGACGTATCATCGAGTCTTCTCTCCGTCAATTGAACTTTGGTGACAATTCTACTAGATGTAAAATTGATGAAATGGATCCTGATATGTCTCACAATAAAATAAGTACCACTCCAGGTAGAGATTTCGCTTCCTTCGGTATGGGTAAACATTTATGTCCAGGTAAGAAAATATAAACCAAGCTTTTATGGATCATACTCCTAACCAAAATTCCTCTTTTTTTTTTGTCAATTCAGGCCGTTTCTTTGCTGTCCAAGAAATTCAAATGACTTTAGTTTACCTTCTTAAAAACTATGATATCAAGACCGCTAATGGAAAGCGTCCCGTACCTGTTCAAAGCGTTGGTGGTGTTATGGCTACCAATTGTGAAGATCCTTTAATTTTTACACGTAAAAATTAATATAGTGCAACTCTAGAAAAATTTACCCGCTCCAACATACACATGTATATAATAAATTAAATTTATACTTCACTATTGTACAATTTATAACATTCTTGATTGATATATTCTTATGGTAAACATTGTTTTATAAAGCGACACTGCGATCTTGGGTTTGGTAGAACATAAAGGAAGTCTAGGTAGAGGTATCGCGATGATGGATGGGGCAGCAGTTAAATTTACATGTACCAGTATTGCTGCTAGAAATTCTGACACTGTAATACGGCCGATATGATAGCAAGATTTTAATACAGATATGTGAAGAACAAAAGGTTTTTTTTTTTCAAATAAACAATGAGATTTTATTTAAAAAAATACAAGTGGGCAAATTTCTTTCAAAGTGCTTGAAGTTTGATAAATATCATAACATCAAGCAATTTTAACAAAAGAAGCTGAACACTTTATTGGGCACTCAAGATATCGGAATCACCGGCATCAGTGATGGAGAGAACACTGGTACGGAAAAGCTTACCACAAGCGGTACCAAGATCGATGTTGTTACCGTTGTAGTGGTGAACACCAGTCTTGGACAACATGGCGTAGTACTCGATCTCGGACTTACGGAGAGGAGGACAGTTACCAGCAATGATGATCAACTTGGCTATAAGGGCATTGTTAGTAAAATGTTTGGGGGACGATCTCTGCCCAAGGTGGCAAGATTAAAAAAGAAATGACTACTTCTTTTTGGGCTCCTGCCCCCCGAGGTTTTTTTTTATGTAGTCTTTTGTTCACTTACCCTTTCCTTGACGGACAGTCTTCAAGGTAGTCTTGTAACCAAGAGTATACTTGCCAGACTTGGTGACGAGTTGGAGACGAGAGTTGATGGACTCGGCGTTCTTCTTGGACTTGACAGTAGGGGCCATTTTAATCTACGGTGCATATTAGTTGAACTGTTCATGCCTCATTTCTATTTTCATTCTACTTTACAAGTTGGGGATACGAAAGAGGAGGATTTCTTATTGTTAGCCTTGTTTGTCTATAAAACAATTTTTTTTTTTTACACACCCAACTTCCATTGGCTGATATTTTTAAGCCACCTTATTCGCGTCTTTTTTTCCCCCCCGCTCAGACTTGGCACTTTTGTTTTACATGTCAGATAAGTCTTAATTTAGTGATAGATGAAGCCCTGAGTGAAACCGGGAAGTCTTTTATCACATAGAATTTCAATTATTGAGCACGTACTTATTTGGCTTTGGCAGAAAGTGATATCTTGTTATGATTTGATGGTATTCTTGCTTCGAAAATTTTACGTCAATACCAGACTAGTGTGCCTATCACCATTCATCTCTTGAGTTGTTCCGATAGCATTGACTCCGTCACTTTTTATTTAGTCTGTGGTGATATATACCGGCTGATATGGAGCGAGAAAGAGGAGGAATATCTATCCAAATAGTATGTGTACTTTGACTGACAGAGAAATTACGAGCGCTTCTTGTCTCTCAGTTTTCTGGTGTATACCTTACATAAACCGGTTCTGCGTGGTGTTTGGTTTTCAAAACGGTAACTATCTTTGAATATATTTATTTGTTTTTTGAGGTTTGAGTAAGTTTCTGGTATATGTATTTCTGATTGATAGCTATACTACAAGAACAGGTCTAGATACTGCTTGCATTGTTTTTCTTGACCATGTACAAAAAAAAAAAATCCGAATACATTCATCATCCTGATAATGTCTCCAAAGTGTTCCAATACAACTATAAAAAAAAGGACATGCTATATTCATAGATTGCAGGCTTTTTATTTTAAATTTTATAATTTTTTTGCAGAAGAGAGAAAAAAAAAAAAGATCTACTCGATTTGCATATCATCGGTCTTGTCAGCTTTATCGGTCTTTTCAGCAGCAGAGTTAGCAGTTTCAAGTTCCAATTCCTTCACTTCCTTTTCCTCAGAGGACTCCAAAGCAGTTTCGCTCTTGAGGTTATCAATCTTGTTGTCGATCAAGTTGTGAAGGGCGATGACGGAACGAATCATACTTGACAAGTAAATTAATAATAATTGATCGTTTGTCTTTGTGCTGAATGAATTGACCATCTCATGATTTTCCAAGTTGGGGAGCAAGTTGAACATATCCTGAAGGTTGTAAATGATTTGATGATTCACGGGTAATTTACCACTAACGACTTTTTGAAGATAATCACGAATTTCCTCAAGACGGCCTTGTAATCCACCAAGTGATCCTAATTGAGAGGTGATACGAGTAGATAATGTTCCAACTGCATTGTCCTTGATATCTCTCAATAAATGTTCAACACCAATTTCTTCTGCCTCTTCTGCAACAATCTCTGATGGAACATGCATAAACGTCTTTGTTGTGGTAGTACCATCCTACATACATTTTTATAATCATTCAGTCCTCCCACTCCTAAAAAAATCACTAGTCATACAAGTCTACTTACGTCCTTGATCTCTTCAATAGCAAAATAGGCGTCAGTGGGTATCTCAGCATCATTAGGCTTGACATCGATAATGACAAGTACGGGGTTGGGTGTGTATCTCTTGAAGAGCTCGTTGATTTCTAAATCTGAAGAACGAAGCTTGGGTCCACTATGATACCAACCAATCAACTTTTCCTTTGCTAAGCAACAAATATAAAAGGTTAAATAAAAATAAGCCTAGATAGATGGGCACCTGTATTTTACCATTGACTTTCTTAAACATATCGTTCATGGCTTCAACATAATTGTGATCTAAGAACCATACTGAAGGATCCTTTTCATCTTCCTCGAATGGGACTGTAAAGGCGAAAGATAAACAATAAGTATTGAATGGGTGTTTGTGTGTGTGGTAAACTCCTGTATACCTGCAAAACTGTTTGAAACATTGACTGTCTTGCCCTTATTTTGACCAAGCAAAACACCGATGACACGCTTCTTTGTATCCTTAGCAACACGGTTATAGTGATCTGTTGCTGAAAGTAAGACAAGAGGATGAACGTGAGCTGTGATGGAAGGCTGTACTGTTGTGGTAGAAGGCATAATACTTTTTTTTTTTTAGATTTTTTTGCTTAAAAAGAAAAAAGAAAGTAACAAATGGGGCCTTTTCCACTCAAAGTACGCGTAATTTGTGTCGGACATTCACAATTTATGTTTGTGACATCATCGCTGGTGGGATTTTAATTGTTTCCCTTTTGATTTTTTTTTTTTTTTTTCATTTTACATTTTATTACTGCAAACTACCCTTTTTTTTTATATATATATTACTGACCCTCGAGAATGTCCCAGTACCAGTACAATTATATTATCAAGGTAAAAGAATAGACCTTTTACTACAGCTCAACCCTTATTAAATGCAACCCACCACGTTACGCTCTCCTTCTTTTTTTTTTCCTTCTGTCTCTATGGTTGTGTAGTATATCATTATTGGTGACACTGGTAAATAATATCATGGCATATTTGTGTGGTTAAAAAAAAAAAAAAAAAAAAAAAAAATGCTAACAGTCTTACTATGACTATGGAATATCAGGTGTTGGAAAGGTAGAATAAACCCGAGACATGTCTTGCTTTACAATCTCGGAATTAACACAACTCACCCCCAATTTTTTTCTTGTTATGAATAGTCGTGCATCTTGTTACAATTCACAGACAAGAGATTTATGCCAGCTCATGACCTAACTATTGGGTAAGGATAAACTAGTTTTTTTTCTTATGGGGAGCACAAAAAAGGGGGAGTCAAAAAAAAAAGTTACATGTGTTTTAAACATAAATAATAGTGTTGGTTTTGGTACCCGTTTCGTTACAGTCGATGGGCAACAAATAAAGTTACAAATCTGGGATACCGTAAGTTAATTTTTTCATTTTTTTCTTGTGTTCCTTGTGTCATGACTCTTTTTTTATTTTGTATATTCTAGGCTGGACAAGAGTCATTTAGATCTATTACAAGAAGTTATTATAGAGGTGCTGCTGGTGCATTATTAGGTAAATAAATAAACAAACCAAAAAAAAAAAAAATCAGGTACCAGAACTGAAATTTAAAAAAAAAAAAGTTTATGATATCACAAGAAGAGACACTTTTAAAAACCTGCCTGTTTGGTTGGAAGGTAATAAGAATAAGAAAGATGATAGTTTTCGAGACTAATCCTCAGGAATATAGATGTTCGTCAGCACGCAAACCCTAATACAGTTATTATGCTAATTGGTAATAAAGTCGACTTAGAAAAGAATAGAGAGGTATCAAGAGAAGAAGCAGAGAAATTTGCTATGGAGAATAACTTGTTCTTTTTGGAAACATCAGCAAAATTGTCTGATAATGTAGAGAAGGCCTTCACTAAAACTGCAGAGGAAATTAAACAAAAGATACAGGATGGTGTCATCGATATGAATAGCGAAACAAACGGTATAAAATTAGCTCCTCAAGGTGCCTCTTCTTTACCTTCTGCCAATGCGGCTTCCAGCAGTGGTGGCTGCTGTTAAAGTACATATATATTTTGAAAAAAAAAGAAAAGAATCTATTGATATCTACACATATTTTTTTTTGTCTGTTTAAATTATAATAAACATTTTACCCTTTCCTCTCTTTTATTAATGTTCACCTTTATTGTTACACAAATGCACATCATCATGTTCATATGAGTGAATATACATTTTATTGTTTTCTATGAATTTGGCCTGTACAGATCAGTGTATTTAGGTAACGTTACACCATTCGGTGGAGTACATATTTGATTTACCAAAAGCCGATCGAGACGTGATATTGCTTCGCCAGACAATTGCGTTGTCGGGTCAGGCGGTGAATAGGACGGAGGTGGCACCTGTAGTAATGTGGTGACAGTACCACTCGAATGTGTCTGCACAATGGTCGTAACCACTACTTGTGGACGACATGCTGTTGTCGTTATTGCATTCTCCACCATTCTTTCCGTCCGTTCTTCTCGTATCCTTCTTCTTCTTTTTAGTCCAGCAGAGAAGCAAAACATCACAATCACCAGCACCAGTAGAGAAAATATCACTTCAATCGCTATTAATGCTTTATTGTCTCCATTGCTATAACTAGTCACATTGGCGTCGTATGTATTTGTAGTTGCATCAAATCCAGGTGATGGGTCAACTGGATCAGGTAAAGGAGAATCGATGCTGGGAAGAATAGCCATTGATATTAACAAAAAGAAAAGAATAAAGAAACAACATTAAAAAAAAAAAAACTGTATTTTATACGATTTGACCACATGTTTCAAGCCCAAACAAATAAAAAGACCGCCTTTTCTATCTTGCCCTCTCTCTCTCTCTCTCTTTCTCGCCTTATTATAAACAGTAAAGAATAATGCCGCATATCATACTAGACGATGATGGAGAAGATACTCAAACGTATAGCACTAATGTGTCAGATATACTTGACCATACGCACCATTACCCATACACTGCGCCATCCATCAGTTCCTCAGCATCCGATTCGATATCATCCACACCACCACAACAAGCTTCAACTGTGGCTAAAACCAGAGAAGAGGTCATGAAAGAAATACAAAATACCATTGAACAAATGGTTACTTGTATTGCATTAGGTGAACCCATTCGGCTCGTTTTAAACCGTCGAAAGGGCAATAACAACAGGTAAAAAAAAAAAAAAAAAGAGTGGTCGTTTACAGATATAGGATTAAAAGTAATTTTAAAAAGTGGCGATACGCAGAATGATGACATGAGTGAGAATAAAAAAACAAGAACGTTATCTCTTACATCTGGAGATTCTGCAAAGGCGTTTGGTAAGAAACGATGTTTTAGATGTTAAAAAATACAACCCATTGACACATCATGATCACCTCCCAATAATAGCACGCTATCTATCAGTACTGCAAATGATTTATGAAGCCATTGCATATAAAATTATGGTTACAAAAAGAGACATGTTTTATAGAAACGTATCTCTATTTGGAACCCAAACCGTTCTGGATTCGGTAAGGTGTTTTTTTTATTTCTAGACAACATTTCAGGTGTTATTCATACTCTATAAATTTAGATTGTGGACGATATTTCCTGTCATTACAATGTGCCAAGATCTTCTTTAAATGTGGCAAGTGCTCTTTTTGGGAAGCTGCATAAATAATGATGTTTATATTTGTTTACATAAATCATAGAGTGCTGCCTCAAAGGGATTAATTTATGGTCCGATTATCATCAAACTCAAAAACAACAAAAGACTGGATTGCATGAGTACTCCTACAGACCAAGATGGATGTCATGACGAGCAGGTAAAATTGTGCATGCGTCATTCCTCTCAATGTTCTGATGTAATCTATTATCGCAGGGCATATTAATTCCACCCATAAGTCAAGTAACTCAAGTACAATGCATGGCAAAGTGTATGATTGTCATCGAAAAAGAAGTAATTTTTTTTTGTGCATCAGTACGAGCCTCGCATATGACTAAAAAAATCGAAACCTTATGTTTTATAGGCTACATTTCGGTATCTTGTATCTGCTGGATTTTGCCAATCGTTACCAGAAAGTTGTATTCTAATTACAGCAAGTATCACAGTGCGCAGTCAACGGACAGAAAAGGAGTTTCCTTATTTTCTCACCATGACCGATTGTAGGGAAAAGGTTATCCAGATTTATCTACAAGACAATTCGTCAAGTACTTTTCGATTCATTATAGCAAATTACCTATATTTGCATTGATGGATAATGATCCTCATGGTCTTGATATTTATGCCACTTATAAATGGGGTGCAAAAGTAGGTACACACGATTACACAAAAAAAAACAAATAAGATTACTTAGCCATTCTTCTTTTATTTATTTATTTTTCTAAAAAGGCATTTGCTTTTGATGTTTTTAATTTAGCAGTCAATGAGATTGAATTAATTGGGTTAACTTGTCAAGATAGAAAGGATTTTAACATAGGTACAGAGTGCTATATCCCAATGACCGAGCGAGATAAAGCCAAATTGTCAAGTATGGTTCGTACCTGTAGTTTAGATGAAACACCGGGTCTATCTCAGCTTCGTGACCGAGGCTGGAGCAAAGAGATCGAAAAGCAGCTTGCTTCGAAAGGACATCAGAGCTACATGTACGTTTTGTGTGTGAGTGTATTCACAGTCTGATTAAACCCTATTTTTTATTGTAGTAACGAAGTGAATAAGTTGATTCGATCTGATTATAAGCTTGAACTACAAGCATTAAATAATAATGGTCCCTTTGGATTAACAAATTATCTTAGCACAAAGCTTGCAAATTGTAAATTATGAATATAAAGGTTGATTTTTGATGCACGTAGTATTTGCACGTAGTGCTTCTTCTTTTGCACGTAGTGATTCGTTTGCCGATACGAATTGGCATAAAAATTGTCCCTATTCTTTCTTTTTAATGATTGGAGACTGCATCAGAAAAATAACCGATGACAGGGAAGACAAAGGTGCTATTCTCAAGATAGGAGTCTATTCTCCTTGGTGAGAAGTGTCGAATAGGGACACTAATTAGAATAAAACCTGTTGAAAAAAACCCAAAAGTTTCTAAAGTACGTACACAAAATGTCTCTGAACCAATCATTACAATTCAATAAACGAATAAAATAAAGTAAACGTACAGATCCTATACGAGTGAGGACAAGGAAGTACTTTTTATTTTAAAAATAAAATCGAAGCATTCGCAGTGCAGCCATCAGATTAAAGCTTCTATTTTTAACCGCTCAAAACTAGTCTGAGAAAGAAGAGGCGACCATTTCTGGCCGAGTGAGACACTGCAGACAAACAGAGAGTAGATTGAGTGGGTAAAAAGCATATACCGGGAAAGGAATAGATATATCACCTATGAGTAAAGCCAGAAATTTCTCAGCATTGAGAGTCATTTTGATCAAAAGCCTTGGAAGGAGATTAACACACCTGTACAATAAAGAAAAGATGCCATTAATATGTCGAGTGCTGGGTGTCCGAAGAGCTGTTAATAATCAGTCGTAACTGGTAAAGCCAGAGTGAAACGCGACTTGTTTTAATGAGATACCATAAAACCAGTTGATCGAATCGAAGGATGCAGGCTGATCTTGGTCAACGGTAGCAACCAGCAACCGTGTTGACGAGGAGAACACATAAAACCACCAATACTGATCCTAGGAAACATGTAGTGTTAATAAACTTATTTATAATGGATTTGATCTTGGCAAAGAAGGACAGTGACTCGTAAAACATGCCATAATTCAGAAAGAATTAAAGAAATTGTGAATTGTGACACGACCCACGAATGACAAATTGTTCAAGCACACAACTTGAAAAAAGTATAAATTGTAAAGCCCGATAAAACCAATCTCTTTGACATCGCACACATTAAAATTTCCCTTTTTCTGGTTTTATCATAAATAAACAAAAAAAAAATGGCAGATTCGTAAGTTTGTTGTTCAAATATAGTAACAAGGCATAATGACATTCTTTTTCTCTTATCGATAGACAGCGCATGATTCTCGATCCTGGTAAATAACTACATCATCTTTTAAAACGCGAGAAAGAGATAGGCAAAAACGAAAAATTAACCCTTTCCAATGAATGTAGCCATTCGTGATTGGGTTCTGATACCCATCATGATTGTCATGGTGTTAGTGGGTGTACTTCGTCATCACATCACTATGCTCATCACAAGTGCACCCAAAACACCTCAATTAAAAGCTATTCGAGAGTCGTAAGTTGGGGCATAAGCGATAAAAGAAGAAGAAGAAAAGAAAGAATCTCATCTTTATATGAAATGTAGTAAAGCCTTGTTACGTGGTATGCGTTTGAGAACGTTAGGTAATAGTATTCCTCAGCATGCTTTTGCCAGTCGTAAAGCATATTTGGCCGATGCGTTTGAAAAAGGAAAGTATATCAAGAACCCCGAAGCCAATAAAGAGACCAGCACACCTGTGAACCCCATGACCGATCCCGATATGATGGAAGGCATGATGGACGGCATGAAGAAACAATTAATGAACATGGTACCTCAAATGGTCATTATGGGTTGGATCAATTTCTTTTTCCAAGGCTTCATTGTCAGTAAGTAATTTATAATCGTCTAAAGAAACCAACATGGGGAACTCACACGTTCATAAAAAAAAGTCAAGCTTCCTTTCCCTTTGACACCTCGTTTCAAGCAAATGTTGCAAAGTGGTGTGGATACTCGTGATATGGATGTTACTTGGGTTTCTTCTCTTTCATGGTATTTCCTCAATTTGTTTGGTCTCGGTAGTGTCTTTTCTTTAATCTTGGGTGATAACAATGGTAACAAAAAAAGGGAATTTGTATGGCTAATACATCTCTGTAAAAAGAAAGCTAACCAGTAATTTTTATAGCGGCTGGTGTGGATATGACTGCCATGAGTTCCATGCCTGGTATGATGCCTGGTGCTGGTCAACCCGGTCAAGCTCCCGATTTCAACAAACTCTTTTTGGCCGAAAAGGAAAATATCATGATTACACCTCATGTTTGGGATTTGGAGGATGTCGAAGAAAGATTATTAAAAAAGTATGGAAAGACCGTGACAAAGAAAATTGAGCAAAAGAAGACCTCTCACACGACACCTAATAATGTGCGTGATAAAATCAAGCAAAAGAGTAGTGGTGGATCCAACAAGCGTCGTTAAATAATAAACATCATAATTTTTTATTCTATTTATTTTAAGCTTTGGATCTAGCCAAGCCGATACGAGCATTTCCAAAATCAAATACAGAATAAAAACTTCTTAGAAAAGTATCACCTAAAATAATCAATGGTGTATTGGCTTGAGCAATACCAGAGTAACACATTTGAACATCCCCCGAGCTTGGTGAGGTTTTAGCACGTACGAAATCACGGAGTGGGATAGGAAATTCCTCTTGACCTAGTTGAAAGACAATGGTTTCTTCGGTGGTTTGTTCACCAAAGGAACAAGGTATACGCCAACCGTACATGGGACTGTATTCGGCACCAGGGATCTTTGCATGAATTTCCTTGGCGATATAGGCCGGGACAATAATAAGTGTGGTACCCGTATCCACAATAGCAGGCAAAGTCTTGTTCAAGATGGGATTTCCGTCAACCATGACATTGGTAAGATCCACTTGCCAATATTTTTTAATAGTCACAGGAACATACTTAAGCTCGCCTTCAAAATGATCCGCATTCATATCGCCAAACAACTAACATTTACATATACAATAAGCTATCTTCGTTTTAAACACACACACACACAAGACACTTACAATTTCACCTTTGCCACCATCCCGATAATGACCTAAATGAAAACTAACGATGGGGGCAGGAATGGTACCAGACCAATGCAAGTCCTCTACAATCGAGTTATTAATACCAGTGAAAGCCAAGGGAGGGAAACCTAGACCAAAGATACCATCGAGGAACCTGTCTGTAGCAAATTGTGCGGTTTCTTTCGAGACCAAACCAATCAATTGACCAGGTTGGCTGATATTTCCTAAATGTACTGTATCTCGTGCAGTGTTGCCAATCACACTCGAACCGTCGCCATAATGAAGTGCCCAGGTTTTATTCGCACCTGATTCGTATGTGGAGGATAGAGTCGAGTCATAACGACGATGAGATCCACAAGAATTGCCACATGCCATGGAAGGTATCCATATATCGGAGCTACCTGTATCAAAATCCATATTGAATTTTTGTGGTGGTGTACCGATATGAATATACCCAAGATACTAATTAAAAATATAAGATTTTTTTTTTTTACAAATATTTGTTTATACAAATTTGTTACCTCAATGTCAACATAGGCACTTGAAAGTTCAATGGAAGCGCCACCGCCAGCGGATCTGACTCTTGCATTGATTTTTTCATCATTGATATTATATTTTGCCAAAGCTCTTTTCACACGTTCTGGCGTGTTCATGGGTCGACTTTGGGTACTCTCTAAACCGACACTTTTTGAAAAAAAAAACAGGTGTGTTAGTTTGTTATAGAAAAAAAAAAAAAAATTGATCGACTATTTTACTTTAAGGGTTCGGTAAGGACTGGTTTTAAAAGACAGAGCACAAGTGCAGAAGATAGAAAAAGTCCAAATGAATTCACCATTGTTTATTTAAAAGTATAATAATAAATAATTAAGTCCCAAACAAATAGTTTTTTTATATATAAAGATTTTTTATTCTTCCTAGATGATTACATTTTTATTATCACCGAATCTACAAACCATGAGCAACTCTTCCTAAACCCCCCTCCGAGTATCTTTTTCTCTTTGATAAAGTGTTTATGAATACAAATAAAATGAGATAAATTAAGCTAGGAGTTATATGATGTTGTCGATTGTCTTCTTCTACCCTCTCTTTCGGTTCTTCTCTAATTTTTTTTTAAAACTCCACCTACATGATTCATCATCCGGGCCGTGTTTCCATTATCGGAGCAGGTACGCTGGGTGGCACCATTGCCTATAGTTTAATGATGGCGAAGATAGCGCAAGAAATCCTTCTTGTGGACCTTAGCATTAATATAGTTCAAGGCCAAGTACTTGATTTATCCGAAGCAGCTGCCAACACAGGTGTAGTGATTCGTGCTGGTACGTTTAAAGAAGCAGGCCAATCGTCTGTTATTATTGTCACAGCCGACGCTCAATCTCTTTCGAATGAATCACGATCGGAATGGCTAATGCGTAGTCGACGTTTATTTCTCAGTATTGCTTCTTCTTTATCACCTGTTCCCAAGGATACCTTAATTGTGATTACCAGTGACCCTGTGGATCTCTACGTGCAATTTTTTCAAAGTTATTTTCCGCATGTCCCCACTGACCGTATATTTGGCATTGGTACGACCATGGCGACCGAAAGATTTCGTACGTGGATTGGAGATATGACTGATTGTCAGGACTGTATCACTGATGCTTATTGTATTGGAACTCAAAAGACCCCCATTGTTGTTTGGAATCATGCGAAATTTAAATCCAACTCAATTTCAACCTTACCACTTTTGGTGGCAGAACGAGCACGCTTAGAAACCATCGTATCTGAGCATCGATCGAATCTGATTCGAGAGAGAAAGGGGAGGGCTTGGTATGGTACTGCAGCTGTGATGACTCGCTTAACCAAGGCTTTGTTGTGCCCTGATCTACCCTCGGTGATATGGGTGTTGTCTGTGCATGTACCTCGTTTGGATAGTTGTATCTCTTGGCCTGTTATCCTTGGTACGACAGGTATTCAGAGTTTAGTTCAATTACCGTTAGATGAAATTGAGAGTGCCAAAGTAATGAAAGTGGTGGAATCCAATATGATGGATTTTCAAACGAGCATGGGTCGAACTTAAAAAAAAGACAAAAACAACTCCCTTTTATATATATTTATATACTTTTTTTTATTCTACTTCTTAAATAACTTGTTTAATCGACCTTTAAAATGACCATGCACGCGAGCAGAAGCAGAAGGACGAGGAGAGATGGGTACAAATAAAGGGTCTTCTCGATCAAAATAGGAATTTAACTGAAGAGAAGCAGCTCTCTTTGTGGGAGTACTTGATCGTTTACTCATATTATCATCCATATAATGATGAAGGGAAGACTTCTTCATCTTTTGTACAGCTTTTTGAAACTTGCTTTTAAAAAGTTGGCCAGGACTAGATAAAGAAGGTTTGTTACAAGGCGCTACAGGTGTTACTTCATCTTGTTGGGGGAATATTAATAGATCATCTTGGATATTTATAGAAAAGTTTTCATCTTGTTCATTTTCTACCATCAATACTGCAGCTACATTATCCGATTCTCGCTTTGTGAGAGATGCTGAATAAAGGGGTGGGAAATGATGATTGAGTTTTTCATGTGTGGTTGAAAAAAGATCCGTAGCAGCTTGACGTTGTTGGTCATATTCAATTTCTTGATTGATGGCAGGCCAATCAATATGAGACGGGTTAGGACTTTGAATATGATGGTGATCATCTTCGATAAAGTTGAAATGTGTGTCCAATCTTGGTAATGTGGTAGGACAAGAAGGAAATTTCATCAGGTTTTCGAAATCAATGGAAGAGTTGGACATGGGTTCATCATCATCGTCCAATAAGAACAAGGAAACATTGCTACTACTGGGCATACACTCCTCATCACTACTACTACTACTGCTACTGCTGCTGCTACTAATACTACTACTTTCATCTCCTAATTTATTTACATGATTGGTTGTGGCTTCAATCAACTTGATATCTTTATTACCAGGTGTGATGGTAGCTGTACTGGGAGAAGGATCAATCATGATGGGTTGAATCATGATATAACCAAGAACAAACCCGACCAGCAGGATTGCAGGTGTCTTTGCAATGATAAAGACACAGACAAAAGGAATAAGGTGATTTGGTACATATATTGTAGTGGATCTTTGCGTGATGCTTTGTATAAGCGACATTTTTTCTTTATTTTTTTTTTTTTCCTTTTCAATTTTTATTTATTTATTATATGTACACAAAAGAAGAAAAAAAAAAACAAAGGAAATCATGAGTGAGAATGATGAAGATTGTTTATAATAAAATAAACCGGAAGGCTTATAAGAAGTATTAAAATAAGGGGCCAAGGTAATACAAAAGGGGAAGTGAGAGAGAAAGAGATGTGAGAGCACAGGAATGTCACAGTTTTTTTTAGTATCCCTTACATCTCCACTCCTATATTAATTCAAGAATATACAAGTTTGTTGGCAGAATAGATTTCATTGTTTGATTTATTGTATCCTGTTTGTTTTCAAATAGACAAACATACAAATATATACATCATTACCCAAAAATTAACTTTTGTAAACAATCTTATTTTGTAAGTGTATACATAAAAGAGGACAGGCAGAAAAAGACCCCTTACTTGTAACAACAGCCACATACTTGTGTGCTAACGCAACCACATAGAGTAAACAAAGTAGGGAATAAAACACTGTTTATAATATAAAATGCATTATGTACAATTTGAAAAAAAAAGAAGTAAAACTATATACAGGAAGGAAAAACGAAAACGAAAAAAAAATTATTCATAACCAGAGAGAGATACCATCTTTGGATGGTTCAAATAAACACTTGTCTCATCACTTTTTCTACGGCTTTTGGTGATGGAGGAAATGCTGCGAGGATTTCGATGATGTAATAAAGAAATTTCCTCACTTTTTCTTCGTAACTTTAGTCTCTTCTTTTCATCTACAGCTACCAGCCAGTTTGTACCTGTCGTTGTGGGTTTGAGTGATTGCCTTCTAAGTTTGTTACGAATGTCTTTTCCAAACTTGTCAGGAATTTGTACGGTGCCAGCTGCATTTGTAACATGATGTATGGGACACATGGGACCTAAAGCCACCTCGATTGGCATTAATGTATTACGGAGAATATCCAGGCGCTGTGAGGATAGTTTAAGCCATTCCTTTTTATTTTGGCCACATTGCACCACCAATTCCTTGGATTTCGGAAACAGACTGGCCAATGCTTCAAAGTAAGGTTGCACAATAAAATCAATAAAGCCCACATTAATACTCGACGGATTGGCTTCGCTTGGGTTCATGTTGGGTGAGACTGGTAAACCTAGCCGTAGTTCTTCTTCTCCCTGACGAAAGAATTCAACACAGACCAGACTAGATTGTTGATAAAAGACAGGCCATGGTCGACACGGGTTACTGATATCTGCGGCATGGATCAATATTTTGCACATCATTAATCTTTCTTCTCCACCCAACAACACTTTTTCACCATGTGCAAGGCAAGGTACTTTATCTGTATGAAAATAATTCTCTGCGAAATAATTGAAAGGATTCGGACCCTTCTCCTCTGGAAAGATCGGTAAAAGTGTGCGTTCTTGTTTGGCGATGGAGACGGTGTTTTGAAACGCTTCGCTCACCTGCATTTGTTCCTTGAGGTTATCGATTTTTTCGTGCAAGATAGTGATATTATCCTTTAGAGTGAAGTGACAGACCATGTCTGTAGCTAAAATCATCTTTATTGTGAAGACTTTGGCTTCTTCCTCTGTCAGAGGTACACCGGCACTTTCACTGGAAGACTCAATATGGCGAAATAAATGGTGCTTGTCAATGAGTTCCAAGGTTAATGCCGAAGAATGGCACTCGAGTACAGACAAGTTATGATACTTTTTAGCTCGTTCGGTTTTGCATGCTACTTCAAACTGGTTGTTTTTACCGGGCTGTATATAAAATAGAAAGGTTAGCAAAATGTAAGAAAAGGAAAGAAAAAAAAAACGTGCGTCATTTTGTGTAATACAGAAAAAAATTAAAAAAATAAAAAAAATAACGTACATGGCCGATATCATGACACAAGGCAGCAATCATGATGAGAGCCAAATCTATTTTGGTAATGTATTGGGACATATCGTATTGCACCATCATGTGATTAAGAACCATGGCTACATCTACGGCATGATAGAAGGAATGATACGGGTTATCATTATAACCCTTTTCGATGTCGATCAAGAAATCCAAAAAATCCGATATTGTGATACCTAGCGCTTGACAAATACCGAGTCGTTTAAATACGCCAGCAATGAATCCATATACTTCTCCTCTGCTTTTATTTAATAGTGAATACTCTAATGAATGCTGTTCATGCGGTGCTTCTGCTACTTTTCTCATGATCTATTATGATAATTTTTAATAAATTCATTTATGTTCTGCACACACACCCTTTATTTTAATTTTTTTTACCCGTTCAATAAGGAAAAGATCTTCGGCTGATAAGGTATTATGTCTTAGAATAATCATTTTTAAACGTTACACACATTTATAAATGGGATGATAAAAATATATAGAAAAAAGCTACAATAAGTTGCGATAGGAAGAAAAAAGAACAAAAAAAAAAAAAAAAAAAAGTCGGGCGGGGCCAACAACAAGTCTGGGGAGAAAAAAAAAAAGTCTTAAATATGCATTTGGTTGGTTCATATAAGCCAATAGAAATTCCCATTTTTTTCCCTTTTTTACTTCCTTATTTTGGATTCATGTTTGAGTTTCCATGGTAAATGTATCTTGTGATAATCGTAACAGACATGTTACCCTTTCGTCATGTCATAATCGATTTTGTGTTGTGTGAAACCAGCAAAAAAAAACTCGGCTCCTTTTTTTTTAAGGAGGAGCGGACCGGACTTTATCACAGTCACACTCTTGACAATTACGTAATTTTTTAGAGAACAGCACTTCCACAATGATATCATATGTGCGGAGATTAATAAATAGGGTCTCTCTTGAATTAAAATTGTGAAATGAACTTGTTTATTCGACACACTGTAACAGAAGGTACAATAGTTTTAATATAAGAAGCAGATAAAACAAACTCTCTTTATTACGGCTTTCGTAAAAAAATCAATAGTGTAACACGCACACACACACGCACACACTTACGCACACACAAGACTAAATTATGATCCTCGTGCCAAAGCACAACAGATGTGAAATAAAAATAAATTAAGATGTATATAGTTAGGATCCAGCTTCATGTTACTATTAAAACACTTTCAAAAAAACTACATATTGTGTGTGCGTCAATAGTTCTCATTGAAAATTATGAGATGTAAAACAAATGAAATAGGGGGTTTATAAATGACTCTCACTATAGTGATCTTGAATAGGACACCACATATGACTTGTAGCATATTCCGCCAATCCCTCTTAAGGGATACCCTTAAGATTTCTTGTCAACATCCTTCTCTAACCCGAATAATAACAGAAGCAGCTACAATAGTAGTTACCTGTCGAATACGTATCAAGGAAGGATACAAATAATCTTGATCCAATTATTCTGCCGTTAAAGAATCTGCCAGAGCTTTAGAGCATTTATACATCATACCATCCGAGATCCAACTGAGTTTGGCAATAATGACACCGAGATCAAGACCGGGAATATATAAACATGTTGCTATCTTGACTGGCAAACACGCACTTGACCCTGAGCAATGATATAGCTAGGGAAAGCAAAAATAACCCGGCTGTCAATACCTTCCATAGCTTCGGCAAATGTACATTCTACTTATGTATAAGGGTTTTTAAGGGGGGTGATACAATTGGTTGTTTGTTATATATGGCAAGATGCTCGAGTATGAGTCTTGTCAAATGTACCTCGGGTAGAAGAATGGCCGGATAAGCAAGTTAGTAAAATCTTATAAGTATACTTCTTCCTAGGTATGATAAATATTTAACCTGCACAATGGTTGAATGTAGTCGATAATGTCAATAAGAGTCTTGTACTGTTGAACTTCGTTATCATTACGATTATAACACACCTTGTGATTGGCCAAAGTATCACGGGTAACGACACCTTTAGAATTGACAATCCAAAAGACACGCTATGCTTCTTCTTCAGACATTTCAAATTCATCATCCTTTTGTACTTTATCGATGGCGTTGATGATACAGTACCGGTGCTAATTGGCTTAGAGCATCCGCAGCGGTTCACTAAAAGTAGTCACTACATTAAATTAGTGCTTATTTTTAGTGAAGTGTGTCCGCAGCGGTTGCATGAAAATATCACTAAAAGAGTTGATGTCAGATGAAATGTCGGGGAAGTCACTGGAAGTAGTGCGAACACTTTATTAAAAATTAATTTTTCGTTCTTTTCTTTTCGTTTCTTTTTCTAAACTTTTCAGACCAAATGAACACCCAAACTGCCATTTCCATTCGTAGCCCCTCTCCAATTGCAATGGAGAACGAGATTCAAGATGATGGTCATCATGAAAACGTCCAAAATGACAAGAATACCGGAGATGCCCAAGCTATTCAGAATGATATGCGTCCTTCGGTAGCACCTGTTAAAGAGGTCAGAAAAAATTTCTCTAAGGCCGAGGACCTGCAGATCTGTCGATCATATATCGCCTATTGCATTGATCCAATTTCTGGTACAGAAAAAAAGGGCAAAGTGTTTTGGGATGATATCGGCCAACACTTCAATGAATCATTGAGTGAGGATGACTTTGTATGTCATAGAACACCCGACAGTATCAAGACTAGATGGCTGAATCACATTCAGCCTAAGACATTGAAATTCTCTGGATATATGCGAAGCACTTACCAAGAAAGCCAGTGGTTCAAACTATGCTTACGACGTGAGTGCAATATAACAAAACATGTATCTAATTATGTTAATTAAACGCAAAATTTAAGGTATCATTGGCAAGTAAACTTTATAGACAAGCACACCGCAATGAAACATTTGTTTTCATGGAGTGCTATAAATATTTGAGTGCTTTTGACAAGTGGAATCCTGAACCCACAAAGCGGATCAATAAGGCATCCTTGGAGAACTCCAGCAGCAGCAGCAGCAGCGAGCGTCCTGAGAGAAGAAAAAGAGCAAAAGTCTCTAAGGCCGCTTCTTCAGTTTCTGCCGGTAATCAAGACGAATTCAAATGCTTGATGGATGAATTGACGGCAATGCAGAAGAAGTCCGATGAGGCGGCAGAAAAGCGAGCTGAAAGCCTCAGACTTGAGTTCGAAAAGGAAAAAGAATGGAAGTTGATGACAACTGATCCATCAACTATCACGGACCCCCAACGTCGATCATGGGTACAGCAACAGCAGATCGCGATTATGAAAAAGGATAATCCTGAATATGATTTGATTTAATAAATTTTTATATTTATTTAAAATTCTCCTAGCATCATCCATTGATGGTCAACAAGGACCTTTTGAAGTCGGGGATGCATAGGACGATCCATAATGCTCCTCCATTTTTCCAAAAACTGCTCAGGGAGCCCCCCATCTACTTCTCTAAGGGGACTGTACGAGAAAGGGTCAGTTCTCAAATTGCTGATACTGTCCAATTCTTCTTCTTTGTCCCTTTGAATTCAATGATCATATTGTGCAAAATGATACAAGCCATCATGATTTCTTGGATATCGTCTTTATCCCAACCCATTGCTGGTGTAGCGACGATGTTAAAACGTTGCTGAAGTATACCAAATGCACACTCAACATCCTTTCGAACGTTACCGACATTACCGGTAAATTTCTGTCAAAAAAAAAAAAAAAAAATTAAAATGTGCATTAATAATAGTTGCTGTTGATACGAACCGATTCTTTTTCGTTGGATGGATTTCTATGCCCTTTGACAAACGCAGCATATTGAGGGTAAATACCATCAGTGAGGTAATACCCCATATTGTACTGATGGCCATTTATACTAAAATTGACATCAGGCCCTTGACCGTTAGCTATATCTTGGAATAGATAAGAGCGGTCAAGGACGTTGATGTCATTCAAGGACCCAGGAAGACCAAAAAAGGCATGCCAAATCCAGCGGTCCTTGGAAGCGACAGCTTCAAGGATGATCGTAGGGACCTTTTCCTTGCCCTTGTACATCCCATGCCAGCCAGTGGGACAGTTTTTCCACTCCCAATGCATGTAGTCTAAAGAGCCTAGCATACCTCTCTCTGAATTTTCTTTCAGGATTCGTTCCACATCTTCATTCGTAGGTGATCGAAGGTATTCCTCCCCGTACAATCGAATAATGGCCTTGCAAAAATGGCGCAAGGCGTTTCTACCGGTGGACTCGGCCATTCCATATTGATCATCCAACATGTCTGGTGGAACACCGTAAGCAAGTTGGCGAACAGATATAGCCATTTTAAGAAGACCTGAAATGCTTGATCTCCCAGTTGCATCATTCTTCTGCTTAAAATAGTTATCCTTGTTTTCCAAATCACCAAGTATTCTCAAAAACAATTCCTTATCCATTCTAAAACGACGACGAAAATAAGTGTCTGGATAGGTAGGATTCTCGGCGAAGTATTGCTTAGAGTCTTTCGTGCTCCCCTTCTCTGTCCCGGTCAATATGTCTCTTTTTCTCTTCGACAACCTGTTCTGTCTTTCTCTTTTTAAATGCTTGCAATAAAAATTTTTTATTGCGATCTAATTGCAATTGTCTTTGCTTTTCTTCATCCTCAAGGAATTGTGCCATCATGTTATGCTTATTCATGTTTACAAAAGTTAAAGAAAAAAATCAATGTAATTATTTTTTGACCGCTGCGGACTCATTAAAAAAAGGGACTACATTTTTAGCCCGACCGGAAAATGACCCATTTATTCAGTGAAAATTTTAGTGAACCGCTGCGGATGCTCTGAAGAGAATAAACCTTTATAGACTGTAAATGGCTGGGATCGGACTGTAAATGGCTGGGATCGGACTGTAAATGGCTGGGATCGGACTGTAAATGGCTGGGCTACAGTGTATTAAGAGTGCACCACTATAAATAAAAGGTCCACGTGACACTTCTCACTGATCCATAGTCTCCTACTGGATTTATGAAACTGAAATTGCCAATGATATTTTTAAAGATGGTCTTTGCTTCCAGAATCAGCTTGAAATGGTCGTCCTTTACTTTAGTTACAGTGGCAGCTTTACCGACTTCGATGTTGGATACATCAATGAATAAACTTTTATGGTAAAAGCCAATACGATAATCGAGCTTATAATTATCCATTTTGGTTTCCCCACTGAAAAATTAAAGAATGTTATTCTTCAGTCCAGCATAACACTTTAAATTTATTTACCTTCTGATTTTTATATCTATTCTGTCTGAAAAGAGTAATTCCAGAAGTCGGGCATAGATCTTGTGGTCAAAGTCCTTTTCACTTAAGAGCCTTTGTTCTTCAATGTCAAAAATATGGCTATTGATTTGGTAAGCTTCAATCCTAATAATGATAGGTGAAATTGTTATACTTTTAGATACTTTTTATGATTAAGGTAGCATACATTTGCACACTTACAAATGGGACAGTATCTTTTAGAAAAACAAGTCATCAGAAGAAGCATTTATTTGATAGTCGAGAGTTTTGCGATATTGGGTATTGATGTGATCCGACTAAAAAAAATTAGTATGCGCTACAATAGTCTGCACTATCATACTTTGGTTATCTTACATTTTTAAATACTTTTGAAATTGCCTTCTTAAAATCATCTTTCATTTCATAAGAAGCTCTTAAGACGTCTACCCCTTGACTATCGTTCCAAACAATGACATGTGATTGTCCTGATGGGCCTGTATTACTGAAATCTACTATTCCTTCTTTATCAATTCTATAAAGATGGTTATGATAAGTATTTATACTCAAGAAGAATATCAAATGCAAACATACGAAGATGACAACTTTTTGTCTTTGGTGCTCTTAACATTGGTAAAAAAAAAAAGTAAACTAGTTAGTGCTGCCGAAATAAAGTCGAGAAATATCAATAAAAACCTTTTTCCGTTCAGGTGCCTTGCTACTCTTCTCCTCCCCTTTTCGTTTCAAGATTGATATTTCGTTGGTTTGTCGCTGTGTGGTGAGCCAATAATCATCTATCATAGACGTGACCAGACACTAATCATTTACAACTAAAACTACCTGGAAGTTGTCATTTAAGAGCTCTTCAGCGATAAAGTCTTGCAGCTCCTTGTCAAGCATTTTACTTACTTAGTTGATGATGGATTCCTTAAACTTCTGTTCAGCATTTTCCCTAGACTTGAAACCAAATTACATATAAAAGGCTTTGATACATATATATGGAAGGTGTTCTTTCAAATGTTTTTGTTATGTTCTATGGTCAGATGGTAATTAGTTCATGTTTCCTAATTTTCTCAATGGTTTGTGTTCTTACGTTAAATCATTTTTTAGTTAGCGTAAACGTATTTCTTATGGAATGACAATAAAAAGGCAGAAAATAAGCTTGGGAGACTCTTGGTAGATATAAAAGCTGTATTGAAGTCCTTGTCTTTGGTGAGAAATATAAACAAGAAAGAAAAAAATTTTTTAACAACTTTTATTGTGGCTGTGAACCTTAAAATGATGACGCAGTTTTTTTTTTAACATGTATTTCTTAAGTTTTCAAAGTCCGTGAATGATGCTAAAAAGGGAAGAACCACGCCTCAACCACCAAAGATTCCCAAAAGCATCCAAATTATTGGTGAGTGATCTTTTCTCATACAGGCCAGTACTACAGTGTCTACATTGGAAAAATCCCGCCACGTTTGACAATCAATGGGGTAACTCGCCCAGAATGATAACCATCGTCTTGCAAATGGTTCGATTCAACTTACTCCCTTCTTTCAGCCATTATGTCAACCATCACAATCAGATCAAACAAATAATTCAGCGGTATATTTCTATCCTTGGGTACAGACACTGATTATCGCGGACAAACCAATTTCAAGTACTTACCCTCAACGGAACAAGAAATATAGAGAGGCAATACTACAGCAACATAAGTCACAGCTACAATACAGCCTATCACGTATACCGGCAAAGAAATGTTTCCTCTTTTGGAACCTGGCACTAGTGGCAGTACAACAAAATGTTATATACCGACTATTGACTCGTTCCATCCCTTCTCGTCGATATATGCATCAAATTTTCCCAGAGAAATTTAATTCCGCCCAATGCCAGATCTGTTTGTCTTCGATTGAATCATCAAAACACATGCTTTTTTACTGCCCCTCGAAGGCTAACATTTGGAAAACTATCATATCCGAATTTCTTTGGCCTACGACCAACATATCAAATATAATCGCTGCAACTTTCACTTTGAACTTCCAACCCATCGCATACTGCCAAAAACCAGGTTTAACAGTACAGAATGTTATCCTCTGCACCTTGGCCAACATTTGGAAATCTCACTTCCGTAGTAGCTTCAACTCTACACCTTTTCTCTGGCCTGTAGTTGTGCAACAGATTCGTGCACACCTCTCATCCTTTCAAGCTGAAGGCTCCCTCCAAAACCTGTTATAAAAAGAATATGCAACAACACAACATGTGCCATTAATCAACCTTTATTTTTTCTCAGTTTACACTGTTCACAATGCTCACAAAGTATAGTCCTAATATTCTCTCATAACTTTTAATTTGCGCCCGCCTCTTGAATTAGAATTATTATTCTTTTTTTACACGGAGCAATAAATAAACAATTTAAAAAAAAAAAAAAAATGAACTTGTTTAATCGACACACTGTAACAGAAGGCTAATTATACGTTTTGAGTGTGAGCTCATTCATTTAGTCTAAATTTAATTTTGTTTTGGGTTTTGATTATTATGAGATAAAATAAATAATATAATAAGTTTGGGAAAATGTTGAGAATTGGGGAAGTAAATTATAAAGGTATCCTGTCTAGTTGTTTTGAAAGTAATTAGACACAAATGTCTCGGTGCGCGTCGAATACTTTTTGGTGGGAAAAGTTCACTGTTGGCCATTTTTTGACTTTGGAAGCCTTCTTCGTTTTGTTGTCGAGTTGAGGCAAAATAATATAATAATGACTGTTGGCAAACAAAAGTTGCATGGGATTATTCATTGTTTCCAAATCTAGACCAAGAAGTGGTTCAAAAGTAATTAAACCTTTAGTATATATGATGCTTCCATCATTGTCTCTCCACGTGATATCATACTTATCTACTTTTGGTGTGGTTGCATGTAAAATGCCTAGCCTTTTAAACGTAACAGCAACAATTTGGGGGCATCCGTAACAGTCAAACCAAAGACTCAAGTCATCAAGACAGGGAGCTCTTGTTGATTGCAGCTTGTTCATTGTGTATGCCTCGTTGAGCCCATATGTGTTATAAAGGGTGTTAGCATAATTTGGCCTGATCTGCTTGATCACGGCTGTTGATGGTTTGCGAAGACTTAAGGTAGTTTTAGTTTTTTTTTTTTTTTTTTTTTTTTTTTTTTTTTTTTTTTTTTTTTTTTTTTTTTTTTTTTTTTTGGCTTTTTTTTGCTCTATGGAGGTTTTTTATCTTCGTGCTCTACACCAAGCTTGTTTCTTTTTGTTCCTTTAGGTCGGTCCTTTTAGACTTCAACAATCACCGGGGTAGAACAGTTTCCAGACGGCCTACGGAATATTTTTGGATCAAAGTATTCATATCTTTAATGAGATCAGTTGATTCTTGCTGACTACCCAAGATATGGCTCAATGATAGAAGCTTTTCTAACCTAAGTTGGATAGCACTAGTATCAATTGGTAATGTTTCATGAGACTTTTTGCCCATCTCAGCGGAAATTGCAGCTCTGGTGGCGACTATGAAAAGTATTAATTTTTAGAGTTAACAAAATAAAAATGTTTAAACATTACGTACTCTCTTTTTAATCCGGGAGGTAATTTTCCCTCTCATTATTCAAGCCAAAGATCTATTTTTTCTGTGACAACTGCCATACTACCAAATGAGGTGCTGTTGCTTCTTTTGATATTCGCATGGGTAGACTCAACTCTGTTCGAAATTCTGTTTACCATAGCTATGTGATATATACACACTATATATCCAGCCTATAATCTACTTGACATTTAATAGCAACCCAGCACTGAAACATAAACCATTAACTGATCAAGATATTAATGTCTACTTCCAATCCACGCTCCCATCTGATCTTCCCGGATAACAATCTATTTCAATCCTTCCTTATAAAAAGGATCCCCTTTTCCATTTAATAAAAAGATATCTAGTTTTAGTCTCAAATAATTTAACCGTTTATTTCTTGGAATATTTCACTATGCATTAAATTGTTGACATAATAACCTACCCAGAATTGCTTCTTTTTCATCGTACTATATTTATATCTACTTAATAAAAAGAGGGTTTAAACAGAAAAAAAAACTTACTGATGCAGATATTTAATCATCGTTTGGGCACCACCTTGTACACATTTGCCCTTGGCAGACACGAACGTTTCGTATTCATTTTTGGCAAGCAAAAATTGATCCTTTGTTGTGCATTTTAAAGCCATTTCAATGATAGCCATGAACGATTTGACCTCCATCTCCATTTTGTTCTCTATAAGGTGTTTATTTGGTAAGTTTATGAGGACTAAAGAACGTAAATTGTCTTAACATACTATCCAGTCTCTTTTCCTTGGCAAGATTCTTCTTGAATCTCAGAATAAAGTTTCTTTGGATATGAATCCAGCAAAGAATTTGTTTACTCTCGGGAAACTCGGACTTGATTGCTCCCAACAAGGCTTCATCGTTGTCAGTAACAAAGCACTTGGGCAATTTATCCGTGCTTGTTCCAGTAGGCCAAACAATAGCATGGAAACAGTTTAAAGCCCAGCAGTAGCGCTCGCTTGTCTCCCGATCCATCCAACATCCTGCAATTGGAACTGTTGTCAGCTGCTTTGGCTTTTCTTTTGTACTCAAAGTACCAGCGACGACGAAATTCAACAAGACCATCTTGTTTGAGTTGGTCTTGTAGGTGGCATCAACAACAACACATTCTGAAAGCTTTCTAGCTCCGTCGATTTCATGTTGGTGAATGAAAAAGACGCTGCAAATTCTCTCGTCAGCATCTGTCAAAAATCGAACTTGGTGGCTACTAGATTTAAGGTTCTTGACAAAATTCCACTTATCAGTGTGGCTGTCCCGACAGAATTGTTGTTGGATGTTCGTTAAATCAGTTACAATCAGGTTGCTTACACCTATTGTTTCAAGCATCTAATTACCGTTATTTTAAGATATAAATTGGGGGCATATTTAGACTTATAAAGAATATAGGCAAAATAACTTTTATTATGATTACAGCTTTCCTAACTATTGATTTCTCAAAGGATCTCTCTATCTCATTTTTAAACATTACCTTTAACGTTTCACTGGGAGTTGTACCTCCACGCATAAGCGAAATGGCGAACTCTTGATCATCCGCATTGAGCTTTCGATTGCTGTGATAAGCCCTTTTATCCTTGCTCAAAGGATGGTTACGTTCGAAACAGCTAGATCGAACAGTCCAAAGCTCTCCACTAATTTCACATCCTTGCGAATGTAGACGAATGCTGAACAGCCTGTTCTCGTGGTGGTCCTGTTGGGTCCTTGAACGCTGATTTCCAATTCATCATCATTAACGGCATCCTTTTCATCTTTTTTCAAAAACAACGTTAAATAATTATATCAATAAATATCGCAATTGTGTCAATTATACCTTCTTCCTTTTTCGCAGCACGATATTTACCAAAATGTTTATAGACTATTTAGGTGTAAGACTTATCGCTTTTAGAAGTCTCAAAAGAGATATTGTTAGCCTTACTGAAAGACTGTATTTCAAGTCTTGCAGTTTCCTTGTCAGCAAAGAATTTTCCAACAGGAAACTCGGCTTCAAAAATAGCCTTTACATTGGCAACACGTTCATTAACCGACACAGTCTTGGCAAAAGATGGAATGTGACGTGTTGCCTTGACGCTGATGTCCTCCATCTCAGGTTCACTGAGACATTCCCAGCCGTATCCCTCTACTGTCACTCTTTCATCAGTGTTGGACTGTTCATAAACTTGTCTATCAAAGGCATCCTCGAAACTGTCCTTGATTTCTTCTACAGAATTGATAACAAATAAAAGACTATTGATGAGCAATTGGCTTTCACTCAAAGATTGTTGTGGATCGTTTGACTCATTTAAAGAAATAATAAAGTAAAAAGGAAAAAGTACATGGCTCTTTCCGCTAAAAATCAGAATCCACGTTCCAACCCCGCTTTCAAAGATTATTGTGGAACAAATGCTAACAAAAATCCGCCCATGTGGTCTAAAGTAGTATCAGGCGAGGCTGGAACGAACATCTCATTCAATCCAACCTTTGCTGATAGAACCCTATCAATTTCAACGGACTCTCAGCACTCATTAATGGACCCTATTCCTGAAAAAATAGAAATGGTACGCCCGTTCATTAAAGGCATAGAGAGAAATTCAGTGTTAATTGATGTCACTGACGTGAAGGACACACAATTATTGAGACAATCTCTCCAAGACTTTAACCTTGATGCAGAGAAAGGAAAAGCATCCTACATTGGTAGACTTGCCAGCGTACAAAAATATCTCAAACGATCATTTATGGAAACAATGTGGACCTTAGGCAGCCAAGGACACCACACCATTCTCAACGAAGGAATCACCCTATCAGATGGGTCATTCATCAAAGGATCCCGATCACTTCCAGCCGAATCCCGTATAGTTAAAGTCATATTGGAAAGACTTCCTTTTCTTCAACCAGAAGACCTGATGATAAATATGGACAAACGATTAAGCATTTTTTGGGGAAGTTCTTGATTTTGGTATAATGAAATCTCACGGATGTTACACAGGATTGGGATATGCAACTTTATATCTCACCCCAGAGAACCCCTTCAACGTGTAGTATTGTGGAACGACTATGACCAGGAAGAAATACTGGTATATCTCCAGTATGATAATATGCCGGACTTTTGCAGATTATGCCAAGCCTCTGATCATTGCCGTGCTGATTGCAAAGAAGCAAAAAGATTCTTGAAATGTTATAACTGCAACCAGCATGGACACATCATGCGTAACTGCCCTCGAAACAACGTCTTGGAAGAAAACAACAACAACAAATTCCGTGCAGTTACAGTGAAAAAGGAAAGGAGAAAACCAAAAGCGAAAGCAGATAACGACACTGCTTTGGATACTCCAATCCCAGTAATCTCGACTGCTACGAATGTGCAACTGGAGCCTGAACAAAAAACCCAGATCAGCCAATGCAAGATGCAGAGTCACCGGTAGTGGCCACGTACCAAGCGACTGTAGTAGAAAAAAGTTCAGATAACCTACAACAAACGATTGATTGAACAAAATCACCTTTGGAACAGCAAGCATCAGCTACGAAAAAACAAGGGGATAGTACTAACCACCAGGAGGAAAGAGATTCACCACCCGTAGCGAAGAAAATCCAGAAAATATTAACCAAGTCCGATATCACCAGTCATCGAAATACCCTTAAAGAGGGAAATATTGTTCATAATAACCCTGCCAGCCCAGCCATCATATATGGTTCCTTGCAGCAGCAACAACAACAACAACCTTCTAAGTAATTATTATGTCGACCCAACATAATTATATCAACATCACGACTCTCAATTGTCGCGGTCTCAAAAAAACAAATAACCCCAAAAAAAAAGAGAGCCTGTATATACCACCCCTCTTTTTCCAAATATAGTAATTACCACCCCTGTTCGGTCGCACCGGACAGTAGATGTCCGGTGGAAGTGGATCACTTAATACGCATTTATTAGGCTCAATTGTGGATCACTTTATACGCATTTATTAGGCTCAATTGTGGATTACTTTATACGCATTTATTAGGCTCATTTGTGGATCACTTTATACGAATTTTTTAGGCTCATTGTTGGATCACTTAATACTTATTTTTTAGGCTCATGTATAGTGTATTTTTGGATCACTTAATACTTAGTTTTTAGGCTCATGTACAGTGTATTTTTGGATCACTTAATACCTATGTTTTAGGCTCGTGTACAGTGTATTTTTGGATCACTTAATACCTATGTTTTAGGCTCACTATATTTTCATACATATGAATCTTCCAAACATAGTTTGGTGATGAGATATTGGTAAATGGGAGAGACATCTTCAATATATTGTACATAGGCAAAATCTGGTCTTCATACACCATCAGACGTATCCCATAAAACCTTAAGGTTTTCAAGAAGGTCCTTACTCTCCAACATAGCCCACTCAGCTCTCTTCTTGGCTTTTACCGCCTCATAACTGATTTGTTTCCTTATTTGCTTCTTAAGTTTTTTTTTGTCGACTCTCAAAACGGAATTTCTATCGGCCTTCTTTTGCTGCTGGCGGATACAGTATGCAAGCCTTCCACCTTGGTCAGGACGCCCATGCTTGACACCAACGATTACAACATGGTGTTTGACCTTCAAGTGCTTGATCAGGGATGATCTCGAGTTGAACGTCTTATGGCACTTACCACATGTCAACTTGTCTTTAATTAATGTGTCATCAACATCTTCGACATCAACTTCCTCAAGTGATACTTCATTCTTTGACTGGTTCAATTTTATGAAGAGTATCTCGATTAAAGGATTATTCTTGGGGCTACTTCTACTCTTTTAGGAACAATAAGACTCTCGCCTTCAGCAATACTTTCTTGATTGTTTATTTATATAATCGTTGTAAATTGTAAAATGAAAAAAGCAAAATGGTACCTAAATCCCCCCCCCCGCCCCTCCTCAAACAATTATTCGGACCTGGTTCATAGGCCTAAAAAATAGGTATTAAGTGATCCAAAAATACACTGTACATGAGCCTAAAAACTAAGTATTAAGTGATCCAAAAATACACTATACATGAGCCTAAAAAATTAGTATTAAGTGATCCAACAATGAGCCTAAAAAATGCGTATAAAGTGATCCACAAATGAGCCTAATAAATGCGTATAAAGTGATCCACAATTGAGCCTAATAAATGCGTATAAAGTGATCCACTTCCACCGGACATTTACTGTCCGGCGTGACCGAACAGGGGTGGTAATTACTATATTTGGAAAAAGAGGGGTGGTATATACATTTTCTCAAAAAAAAAGACAACAATTTATACGCTATCTCAGAACACTTAATATTGATATCTTGGTACTCCAAGAACCTCATGCAACAGACTCAAACACTATCAACTTATTTAATATGCAATTCCAATCAAAATCCAGTATCTGGACTGAACACTGTGGAGTTATCTCTCTCAACTCAAAATTTACTCTTTTATAAATCGATTCGGGCATTGATGGCGGCCGTTTTATTCTTGCAGATGTTATCCATACATCTGACACTACAAACTCTACTAACCCAATTTTAATTGTTTTAATCTTATATATAAATGGTAGAACCTCAACTACATCTAAAAAAAAAACTGCCTTCTTTACAGGACTATTGAGTAACTCAAATATAGCAACATATACAGCTAACCCGGCGACTAAGATGCTGATCCTGGGGGATTTCAACTACAGCTACAAAAACAGAAGGTCAGATGGATCTATCGCGGGCACTACAGAAATTTGGATATCACTCCTAGATTCTAATATTATTGACTGTTTTGCGGACGAGAAAAGCACAATTACCTGGAAAAATGGGAACAACTCCTCAACAATAGACTATATATTCTATTCATCTTCCTGCTTTAGCCAGATTAAATTGAATAACTCTCATTTTCTCTCGGATAATTGGACTGACCATGCCTTGTTGAAAGTCAACTTCTCATATGATACTACCAAAGGACCCGGAGCATGGAAAGCCAACCCATTCGTGGCGAAAAAAAACCCGATTCTGTACTGGGCTCCAAGAGCATTTACAATACCTGATAACTGAATTAGAAACACTAAAATCCTTTCGCAGCTTACAACAAATTTGGGACTGGATCAAAGGCGAAGTTAAACTTTTTGTCAAGTCATTTCAGCAAGAAGATCTCAACTGGAGAAAACAACAACTCAAAAGATTACAATCCAAACGTAATCGGATCTTAAGACAACAAAAAAATAGAAATTTAACATTTCCAGAACTAATCAATGTAGAAATCCAAATCGCCTCTTTCCAACAATCCATAGCAGAAATTGAAATTTTAAAAGCAGGCAAATTTTGGCGCGAGCATAGAGAAAAGTCAGCGGGATTTCTAAAGAGAATCACTAAAACCCGTGAGGGTCAAAGGGAAATTACAAGTCTGTTAGATCCATTGACTAACACTCAAAGCACGCAATTACCACAAATAAAAGCAATAGCCAAGGAAGTTTATTCAAGCCTGTACCTACCGGATGATATAAATGCATCAGCATTGGAAGAGCTCCTACAGAATATTGATCCGAATAACTATTCAGCTGGGAGTCGAACAACAAGAAGCATTAATGGCCCCGATCCTGTTAGAAGAAATTGTTTTCGAAAGTAGGCGATCTCCTAAATCGAGTAATCCAGGTTCGGATGGTCTTCCATACGAAATTCTCCATTTTATCGTAACTTTTCAACCATTGCAATCATTAATCCATGAAATCTATCAAGACGCATTGATGCACAGCAAATTCCCAGACTCTTGGAATACCTCCATCATGTCACTGCTTCCAAAAAAAGGGGATCTCACTGACATTCGGAACTACCGTCCCAGCTCTCTGGCCAACACCGATTGCAAGATATTCACTAGGATCTTGAACCATCGCATGATGAGTATCTCCAGCACTCTGAATTTACAACAACCAAAGCTCTCTGCTATGCTGATGATGCGCTCATTTTCGTTCAAGATCGACAAGGCCTCGTGCGATTAAGCCACCATATGGATACATTCTGTAGAGCGTCAAATGCCAAATTTAATTATAAGAAGGTGGAAGCGTTCTCTGTATCTGGGCGAGACACATGGAGTTACTGGCAAACTTCCCTAGAAGCCATGAACATTAGCAACCTCAAGACGGCCTTAGACCCAACACCAACAATATACTTGGGCTTCCCGCTAATACAGTCTGTCCCACAACGGAATCACTTTGTAGCAACTCTGGTCGGACAACTCAAGGCCTCAACTGCCAATCATTCGGCTCGATCACTATCAGTGTAGGGTAAAGCTACGGTAATCAATTCATTAATTCTAGCGAAATGCTAGTATATCTTTCGGGTGACGCTACTTCCTCTACAAGCACTACAACAAATTAGATCAGTGGCGATCCAGTTTTTAAGGACAGGTATCTTCCCTACGATAGGTTGGTCAACATGGATACGTAAGAAATTACAAGGGGGGCTTAGTGTACTAGACCCAGCTCACCAACAATCCAGTCTCTACTTCAAATGAATTCAGCCTTTAATTTCATCTAGTCCAGTTAACCCAGAATCCAGGCTAAACCAATTACGACGGATTCACATCAATAATCGTAACCAGTCTGTCTACCATTAAATTCCCAGTAACAAGAAAATTCGGAGGTCTCCCTAGGCAACGAACGGACGTGATCGACTGCATATACAAATCTATAGATCTTATTCCTCGAAAGTTTCTTATGATAGACCTCAGCCCTGCTACTGGTCTGGAACTCCCACTACGAGCAGCTCTTATTGAAATCCCAAATCATCGTAACATCAAGCTACCCAAACGTGCAGAAAATATGATCCTGAAAGATATTTTTATGTTTAACCCCCAAATAAGCATTCTTCACTGGAAGAGCGGTAACACAATCCCACAACACTGGAAAAGGGCACCAAGAAATATCGAATCTGGCCTAAATTATGGCTACTTCAGACTACAACCATTTCTACTTCCTTTGTGTACCCCCTCAGACAGTCCTCGAGAATTTGGTACAGTAGATTTATCACCAATCAGCAACGATTTAAATCTGCTAGGGAAATCTGTCAACTAAGAATATATCACCACCAAAACTTTTCGTCAAGCTTGCCAATTTACTTCGCTAGCCTCATCGCGACTCTCAAGAATATCAGTAATCATCTGGCTACTATTTTGGGCTATGACTCTTACTATGGTACAAAGAAACGTAGTATACAGGTTTCTCACCAATGATATTTCTAACCGCAATATCTTACACCAGATTTTTCCAGAAAAATTCGACTCCTCAACATGTATCATCTGCAATGATGCTCCAAAATCGACTTTTCACATGCTGTTCTTCTGTCCGATAAAATATTCTGCGTGGCAAGCAATCATCCTTGAATTCCTGTGGCCTACCTATACCGTTCAGAACAATTTAACAGCATTACAAAAACTGGATTTTAACTTAGTCTCACATAGCCACAAAGATGGCATCAAGTCCTCCATGGTAATTCTCATCACCCTGTCCCAAATTTGGAAATCCCACTTTCGGTCAATCTTTGATGGCTTACCTTTCATAACAGCACAAGTAGTTGACCTTATTCGGTTCTCAATACAAAAACACATCAACGAAGACTCGCTCTCCTTGTATTTGTAACAAATAACTAACCCGACACATTCTCTCTTCCGTTAGCTTAAAATTCAAAAAAAAACTTACCCACCCCTTTTATTATCCCTAAAATCATTTTAACTTGCGACCGCCTCTTGAATAAGACATACTTATTTTACACGGAGCAAAAAATAAACAATTTTTTTTTTAAAAAAAAGGAAAAAGTATGGTGCGAGATTTTTTTTCAATTACGGCTTTCATACAAAATCAAAGTGTAACACACACACACAAAATTATACGACTAAGGCCCAAAGAATACATGTCATATATAAAAAGGTAGAATCTAACTTTATAATATTATCAAAACACTCTCAAAAACGTAGTTATATGATGTCTGTGCGTCAATACTATTTATTAGATATGAAGAAAAGGAGAATAAATGACATAGGGAGTTCATGCTTGTGTACAAGGAAGACAAGAGAGCCAAGTGATCACGTTTTTTAATTATAAACCAGTAGTTTGAAATAATCCAATGGAAGGCCAGTTCTTTTGATCTGTGATGAAACAATCTGTTCAAATTGCAGAGTGTCCATTGTATTTTATGAAGGTTTACATCTCTGGATATTTGACACTTCACCTTCAATTTCGGTAATTGGGGCACATTCTCCTGTCCAGATTTTAAATTGAGCAATACCTTACGAGATCAAGATTTTGATGCCTTCAACACAAGACCAACCCTTACGCTCAGCTTGCAAAAGCAACTTTGTACAACAAGACTTGTAAGCCATGTCAAAAATAATACCCTTGATACCTCCGTGCAAAAGTTCAGGTAACTCAATACCAAAACCAATTGCCTTGGCATTATAGGACAACTCGTCAAGATACTTCATAATAGCTAACCTGTGAGGAACAGTGACCAAAAGTGAGATCCTTGAGAATATTATCCTCAGCATATTTAACCATATGGTACTCCAAAAGATTGTATTGATGGGGAGGACCCAAAACCTTGAAACCAGTGTTATGGAGAGTAGGCGACATGGAATGTTGGATGGGTGTACGAATTAACCAGAATTTTTGGGCAGGTTAAAGGCCAATGAGATAACGAGCCTTATTGATTTCAGCTAAAGAAAGTTGACCAGGAGCAGCCTTGTGTGGGAGTGCAAGATGAGTAATAGGAGTTAAAAATTTGTTGATCACACGAGGTAACTGTCGGGTAGCACCCATTTTGATAGCAATAAGATCTTTACCACCCTTTTTGTAAGCGCGGAATGTTTCAAGTACCATGTTGTCTTGGAAACTTTAAGTATTGCCAACAAGTTTAATGGTATCACCGTATTTTTTACAAGTGTCATACTTGAGTTGATTAGTCTTACCATCCCAGGTTGTAACGTTCTGAGCGTCATGCCAAGGGGATATAATGAGACTTTCACCATTGGAGGACACAGGCCTTTTAATACCGGTAGGAACCCAGCAAGTTTGGACGTCAACATATTCAAAACCCCAATGATGACTCCAAGTGAGTAATTCAAACCAACCATCTTTATCATTATCGGAGGAAGTACCTGCTTGACCCTTCAATCTCATAGTGTAAATAACAGGAATCGGCACCATTCTACGTAAAAGAGAGAAACGTTCACCAACATATTTAATATAGGTTATTTCGCTCTTTAAATCAGGCTTTTGTATAAGATCCACGCGCAGTTCAACTGCATCAGCACCCTCATGTATCTCTTTAAGGTTTTCGAGAACAGAGTTAAAGTCCTTGGAAGCCAATGATTCAAAAGTAATGGGTACTCCGACAAGACCGACAGTAGTATTTACTTGGTTAATATCACGACCGCTGATGAATAAAAGGAATCTCTGGAGATCCTTTTCAATGGCTAACCACCCGGCCCTTGACAGGCTTACCGTGAATATAATTACCATCAGGTAATTCAGATGCTTGAACACCTAAACTTGATGAGTTCATGCACCATAGCAGCAATACGATCACATTCCTTTACAGATTGGTTAGCAATACCAATGATACGTGTGATGTTTCCACCCTTGGGATCAGCAGAAGATGTAACAGCAGACAGTGGCAGTCATAAATGCATTTGTCATGGTCTCCATATCAATGGTGGGAAAAGGACGAAGTTGACCAATGGGGGACTGGTGACGGTAATAGCAGTTTCGGTTTGAACAACAGTACAACTTACAAGTATAAGGACGTTGATGACAAAAGTAGTATCGCCTTAAAGAGTTAGAACCAATACTGGTGACGGTACATGTGGTACCAGTGATAGCAATAATGGATGAAGGATAAGTAGCAGAGTTGGCATCTGATTCAACAACATAATGATCGGGGTTCTTGCAGGTGGTTTGTTTAATCTTGTAAGCATTTTCGGGAAGACGCTCCACAACAACACCAAAGATTCTATCATAGCAAGTGTCATATCGATGTTAGGATGTAAAATCTCTTGACCGCCAACCAAAACGAGTTCGACTTCTTTGGTGGCATACGGAAGACATAATAACATGGAAGAAGCGCAACGAGAAGAGATAAAGGCAGACAAGTCGATACGACCACCCTTAAAACCATCCTTGGGGGTTACAACAATGGGCTACAAGCCTTCCTTTTGAAGATAAACAATCACGGCATCATCTGCCTTTAATTCGGCCAAAGGAGGAGCAATAGGTCTCATCTTCATACGAGCATTACCTGTTAAGACAGCGGTAGGGGTTTTATCACCTTCAGTAGTAGGTATCATGGTCAGGACCGAAGTTAAGAAACGAGAGGCAATAACGGTGACACCGACATAAAGCTTGTTATTGGGTACACTAAGTCTACCTCCACCACCGTGGACGACCAAAGTTTCGCCATTATCTTCCCACTCAAGCTCTTTAAAGCAGTCAACATAGATTGTGTACCATCTGAATGCAACAAGTTCTTGGCGCAATTACGAGGATGGATACAATGAATTTGCTTGGTGGATACAATGAGTTTGCTTGGTGGATACAATGAATTAGCTTGATGGATACAATAAATTTGCTTAATGTGGCAAGACATTTGAGCACAGGTCCCCAAATATAAAATCTTCTGATAATAATAAGACGCACAAAATTTTTTTAACTACACTACATAAAGGTGTTAGTTAAAATTTTGATGTTTGCTTCAAAAACTAGTACTTCGAGATTTTACCAATATGTATATATGATTTTTTTTTTTTTTTTTTTTTTTTTTAACATATGCCCGTTTTTTAATTGCCATCCCAATCGACCCATTCTTCATACGTGTGAGTCACTTTTTTCTTCCTACCAAGAGCCCTTTTAAATGACAGGCACCGATCATTATTTTCCTTTATACATGTGCTAATCGTATCGACAGTCTGCTCGATTTCAGCCTTGTAATACAATAACGAGCGTAGCAAGTCATCTGCTCGATTGCTATCGGAACGGCTTAACGGAATTCTTAGTCTGTCATTGATTCGGAAAACAACCATAGACTTAGGTTTAATCATTGTAGAGCGCAAGCAGTCTCCTTTCAATCCACAGAACTGAAGAGAATAAACCTTGATATTTACTGGATTAATGAAACTAAAATTGTCGATGATATTTTTAAAGATGGTCTTTGCTTCCAGAATCAGTTTAAAATGGTCGTCCTTTACTTTAGTGACAGTGGCAGCTTTACCGACTTCGATGTTGGATACATCAATGAATGAACTTTTATGGTAAAAGCCAATACGATAATCAAGCTTATAATTGTCCATTTTTGTTTCCCCACTGAAAAATTAAAGAATGTTATTCTTCAGTCCAGCATAACACTTTAAATTTATTTACCTTCTGATTTTTATGTCGATTCGGTCTGAGAAGAGTAATTCCAGAAGTCGAGCATATATTTTGTGATCAAAGTCCTTTTCACTCAAGAGCCTTTGTTCTTCAATGTCGAAAATATGGCTATTGATCTGATGGGCTTCAATCCTAATAATAATAGATGAAATTGTTATACTTTTGGATACTTTTCATGATTGACATAGCATAAATTTACACACTTACAAATGGGACAGTATCTTATAGAAAAACAAGTCCTCAGATGATGCGTTCATCTGGTAGTCAAGAGTTTTGCGATATTGGATATTAATGTGATCCGACTAAAAAAAATTAGTATGCGCTACCATAGTCTGCACTATCATACTTTGATTATCTTACATTTTTAAAGGTTTTCAAAATTGCCTTCTTAAATTCATCTTTTAATTCATACGAAGCACTTAATACCTCTACACCTTGACTATCATTACAAACAATGACATGCGATTGTCCTGATGGGCCCGTGTTACTGAAGTCTACAATTCCTTCTTTATCAAGTCTATAGATATGGTTATGGTAAGTATTTATACTCAAGAAGAATATCAAATGCAAACATACGAAGATGCCAACTTTTCGTCCTTGTTTCTCTTAACATTGGTAAAAAAAAAAGTAAACTAGTTAGTACTGTCATGCCGAAATAAAGTCGAGAAATATCAATAAAAACCTTTTTGGGCTGATGAGCCTTGGCCGCACTCGTCTCCCCTTTTCGTTTCAAGATGGATACTTCATTGGATTGTCGCTGTGTGGTTATCCAGTACTCATCCATCATGGACGTGTCCAAACACTAATCAAAATAATCCAATAAAGCGTTAAATACTGCCAAATTATTCATTTATAAATAAAACTACCTGGAAGTTGTCGTTCAAAAACTCTTCGGCAATGAAATGTTGTAGTTCCTCATCAACCACTTGACTTAATTTGATGATGGATTCCTTAAACTTCTCTTCAGCAATTTCCCTATTCTTAAAACCAAATTCCATGTAAAAGGCTACGATATTTATATACGGAAGGTTTTCTTTCAAGTATTTTTGTTGTGTTCTATTGTCGAATGGTAATTAGTTCGTGTTTTCTAATTTTCTCAATGGTTTGTGTTCTTACGTTAAAATCATTTCTTAGTTAGCGTGAACGAATTACTTGTGAAAGACGACAAAAAGGTAGGAAATAAGTACGGAAAATTCTTGTTAGGTATAAAACCTGTATGGAGGCCCTTGTCTTTGGGGAGAAATATATACAAGAAAAAAAAAAATTTAACAACTTTTATTGTGGCTGTGAACCTTAAAATGATGACGAAGTTTTTTTCTCATCATGCATTCCTTAAGTTTTCGAAGTCCGTAAATAATGCATGAAGAACATCAAACTCGTTTTATAATACAATATATACGTAAATGCACCGAATTTGGTAAGCTGAAACAAATTTTATATTTTGAAACAGGAAATAGTGTAACAGATTTTTTAAAAAAAACGGTTATGGCTTTATAATCGGCTGTGTAGCGCTTCTGGCTGGAATACAATAAGAGCAAATCTGTTTTGCATGGAGAACAAAATTAAAGTAAACCAAAAGTGATACTGTTAGAATTTAGATACCACTTTATTATGGACGAAAAAAAATAAATCAATTAAAAAACGTATGATGGTCTATGAGAAAAAACTATGGATATATATGTGAAGAACCAGTTAGTTCAGGGGAGAATATTAAGCGCCTTATTGGATCATGATGTAATTACCTGGTGATAGTAAATAATCAACATGTCTTTAAATTTAGCCCTTCCATACTGAGTATATAAATATTAGTCAGAGGGATCAACAGTTATAACATCAAATGACAAGAGTAATATTTGTGCTCAGGATCTGTTAATATTCCATAGTCCAGGCCCATTCGATTGTATTGCTTTTGCAGAATAAATATTTACTCGCCACAGGGTTGTGCCCTGTGTACAGACTTCAACGGTAGGATGAGAACAAGCGGGGTAAAGTGTGATTCATGATTAACTTTTATATTTATTATCCATCCTTAATGTGATGTGACAATTAACTTTATTATTATATCTATGATATCCTCAACAGAATCAAGACAAATTTATAGTATTATCTGTTATTATCATTATTCCTAGTCTTCAAGCTCGAAATGCTGTACACCATGTGGAGAATAAATTGTACTACTCGACTTTTTTTTATAAATTAGATATGATTTGGTGTTTCAGGTTTTCGCCAAGGAGGCGAGATAAATCCAGGAAAATGTGACTAAAAATCGACTATTTTGGAAGGTGGGGTTTAGGGGGGAGGCTTTCCGTAGTACACATAAGAGAAATGCTTATAAACTCACATGCTATAGTTACGCCATAAAAACAGGTTTTTATTGTATGAAACTTGTACTGCAACAAAGGGTTATGAAATAAGCTATAAAGAAAGAAGGGCAAGACTAAGGTATCTGAAAGAAAAGAAACAGGTAGGGATATAAGTCTCTGTTTTAAAAAGATAACGATTAAAAAAGTAGCATTTCCTTAGGGTAAACACCTGATATACCTTACGTCTAATTATGTGTTTAATATAACCATATGTTTTCGCGGCAAGATCTTACAAACGGTTTTAAGGCGTCCAAACGATTTGATTTCCTACTCACAAAACGGTAAAAAGCAGACAGTTAAGCGTGTTGGCATTTTAGAAATACGTCAGCTGAATTTTTTTATTTGTTATACTGTACAAATGGATATAAATTGCTAAAATCATTTTTGGAACATGTGGTGAGCGGTCATAGAAAGATATTTAGTAAACAAAATGATACAAGCGGTCACAAGCTGTAGTGGGGTGTGAGAAGGGTATGATCCTATCTTTCTCTAATGGTCGAGGAACTACTGTAGTACTTGGTACTACAGATCCTTATTCATAAATTCACATTTTTATTATTAAATAAAGTTTTCTTTTGTTCGTTTTCTATATATAAATTCGAGACTATATCTTTTTACATATCATTGCAATTTGGTGTAGTTAAAAACAACGTTTAATTAGAAACAGTTAGCTAGTCACAAGGTAGATATAAACCCCTCGCAACAAACAAAAACCGTCGGACGTCTAAAAACCGTTTGTAAGATCTTGCCGCGAAAACATATGGTTATATTAAACACATAATTAGACGTAAGGTATATCAGGTGTTTACCCTAAGGAAATGCTACTTTTTTAATCGTTATCTTTTTAAAACAGAGACTTATATCCCTACCTGTTTCTTTTCTTTCAGATACCTTAGTCTTGCCCTTCTTTCTTTATAGCTTATTTCATAACCCTTTGTTGCAGTACAAGTTTCATACAATAAAAACCTGTTTTTATGGCGTAACTATAGCATGTGAGTTTATAAGCATTTCTCTTATGTGTACTACGGAAAACCTCCCCCTAAGTCCCAATCGAATACAAAATAGCCGATTTTTATCCCTGTTGTAAACAAGTAGATAAAAAACTGGCACATACTCGAGTACAAAAACTTAGTGCGATTTTAGTTGTAATAGTTTGGGTTTACTCTATCTCGGAGTGATTATTCGTATCTCCTTTTTTGGCTGTTTTCGATTTATATCCCCCATTATTACTTTTTATCTAAAGCTTTTTATAATATATACAAGTGTCAGTTGTTGTACTATTATTTGAGTCTAGTTTAAGCAAAGGGGGTTTATCGTTTTAGCTACAGCATACAGAGAAATTCAAATCATAATGATAACTCACAGAGACATACTTTCAAACTTGGGACTGGTACCATTAAAAAGCCAAACCAGGCAATCACAACGAGAAACGTTTCGCTTTTCTTGTTCGCTTCCATTGACTTTTTTTTTCTACTGTTGCATGAATTATCCTCTTCAGGTCAGCATTCAAAGCATCATATATTTTTTTAAAAAAAATCGTTGGCTTTGCCCCGTTACATTTCTTTGCACACTGATAAAGTCTTCCAAAGCGATGGTCTAAACACATTAAATAATGACAAGACCAAAATTGCACTTGGTACAACGTGATTCATGTTTGTATGCTCATGGATGTTTTATATGTAGCCCTAAAACTTTCTTCGGCCGAAATATTCTTACATTGTGTACAGGCTTTTTTCTTCTGATAATTACAGTTTCCAGTAAAACTAGACCAGGTATGTTCCGGTGTCTTTTAAACGATTAAAGAGTCTGTGCTACATATTTTTAAGCTTTGTGACCTTTTTCTTCCTTTTATACTGATGTCAAATTGGAACAATCTACCTGTCGAGATCTTGGCCGAGATCGTGGATCTTGCTTTGGACAGTGATGAAACAAACACATTCATGTTACAGTGCATGTTGATTTCCAAACAGTGGTCTATGGTTAGCCGATCCATTATCTACAAGAGTGTAACTTTATGCAAAAGCAGCCAATTCGAACAATTTGTTACAAGCATGCTCAATTCGTCTAATGGTCAATTAGTCAAAAAGGTTAGCTTGTTATACGATGACCAAAACCAACTGGAGCTCAACTTGGGACGATTATTCAAATCCTGTCCAAATATCATCTCTCTGAACCAATCAAGATATAAAAAAAGTTCATTTTTTGCCAAATTGCTTTTGGAAGTCTTGACCGGAAGCGGAACCAAGTTAAGAAGAATCCCTGCTTACGATTTCAAAGACCCCAGTAATATTCGCGTGTATGGATATGCAACATATGCATTGAAAGATACACTGGAATGTATGCGTCTTTATGATCACCTTACGACCAAGTCCACCTTTGAACAAAACGAGGCACTAAACCAGTTGCAGATGTACAAAAATCTGAAGTCAATTCGTTTTGAACTGAAAAATCATAGCAACCTTTTTACGGTCTTGGAAAAGATTCAATATTGTCACTCCTTAAGTTCTGTACGTATTTTAGCTGACTGGGACGATGATGATGTAGAAAAACATTTGGGAATCGTAGAACCTTTACATTTACAATCTCTCTCCAATGTCCGATATCTACAGATAAGTGAAATGCTGACAATCAGTTCCACACTTATCCAGTATGTTTTGCGTTTGTTCCCAAACGTCAAATCATTTGAATATGCTGATAATTATAATCCAGATATATTCCACAGGAATCGTGTTCAACGTTTATCTGCAGAAGAATGGGAACGCTTTAATACTCAGGGGATAGAAATACCTAATGAACTTTGGATACAATTCTTGACGTATGTGGCCTCAATGACAATTTGCACGATACCCCACCTGTTTGTAAAGGACATCGAGGTCTTCTTCGACGTACCCAACTTGTATGAAAACCTCCAAATTTTAGCGGATGACTGGTTACCTCAATTCGATAGGGACTTCAAGGTATATTTCGGTATCTTTTACAATACCACTGACGAAAAGAATATTCGTAATATGCATCAAAAAGAAAATTATAAACGCCATATTGTCTTGAATTGTGACAAAAAAATACGCCTTGTTGACTGTCCAAAGATAAACGCGATCAAGACTCTTGGGCCTAATTTAAAAGCATTGGATTTTGATGCTGGTTCACAACGCGATGTAGATGGAAATATCGAAAATTCGGTAGAAGCTAATTTGTTTGATCTTATTTCGGATTATTGTCCGCACTTAGATACATTGTGGGTTACAGACAGCACATTCCATCATAAAAAGCAACATACTGTCAAGCCAATCCGATCTCTGGAACGTATCCAATTCAGATATTGTCAATTTGATGAAGACTACCTGTGCCAGCTGTCTAGCCGCTTACCCAGCATGCTACAGTTCGCCATATTTCTTGATTGTAGTATGAGCGGTAAGGACGTTGGTTGTTTTTCACAGAATAATGTGATTGATATGCCCAATACTTCTTTTGGTAGTCTGATGTACAAGACAGAAACCGATTCCGACGTCGAACAAACAGTTTTCATCAAATTAACAAAGAACAAGGCTACATCTGTCTTTTACAAAGTCTCCACAAATAATCAACTGGCTGTATCTTCGTCCTTAGAATTTGAAACTTCCAAGGACAATCATATGGTCGAAACTATTGATATACGTTGTTTCGATATCAAAATGTTGGCTATCAAAGTACCATTCTTGCAATCTCTTCTTCGCATAGAAGAACAGGCCATCATTTGTGACGACGAAAGTTATATGAACTTACCTGATTTTAGTTTGTTCTATGCAAACTTTTAAATACTGCTGAATAAAATCACTTGTCACTTTACAAATACATACCAAGACTTCATTTTGTGCTTTATAAAAAACAGACGAACGGGCGCTGTATAATTTTTTGCACAGTCGTTTTCAACTGGACAATGTCATCCAAATAATAACCTTAATCAATTAACTATGTCTTTAATATATTTACGCTGAGTCAATATGATTGGATACGACGAGTATTGGGTTTTGGCCTCGACTTTGGGTTCACCCAACGAAATTCAGGAACTGAAACAAGGCCTATTATCCTTTTGAAATGTTGTCTCTATTCAAAACTACTAATATTTTGTAAATGACGTTTCATAATTTTAGTTGTAGCATTAAACTTTCATGCAATTCCAGGTTTATTCATAGAATATATGTTTACATAATAATTTAATCTTCGGGTCTCTTAAGACAGCCATTTTTCTTGTGCACAGCCAGGATACCCGTAGCCGTGATGTTGGATTATGATACTCCAATAGGCACCAAGAGGTAAATATAGCTTTTCGTGTCGAACTGGATACAAATTTATTACAAACAACATATCGTAAACCAATATAAATGTGTGTTTTAATTATAGCTTATTTTCAGCTTCTCGTTTAATACTTCTGCGTAAAAGGTTAAGATCAAACGAGCTTAATGGCAAAAGAGTGATGATAGAATTGTCAAAACAAGTATAAATAATTCAATATACATCTATTCGTAATTGCCATATTGTTTTTTTTTTATTATATATTCTTGCTTTCAGGTCTAAAGAGCAGCTAAATCACATATCTTAGATTGTGACCACGTGCACTTGACCTCTTTATTAGAGAAAATTGGCTGTCACTAAGAAAAGCGCCTCTTCTTCCCTCACTACTGATGTCGAACTGGAACAAGTTACCTATCAAGATCTTGACCGAGATCATTGATCTTGCTCTGGAAAATGATGAAACAAACACCTTCATGTTACAATGCATGTTAATTTCCAAACACTGGTTTATGATTAGCCGAGCTGTACTCTACAGGAATGTAACTTTACGCGAAAGCAGCCAATTCGAACCATTTGTGACAAGCATGCTCCATTCGTCTAATGGCCAATTAGTCAAACAGTTTCAACTCTTATATGATGACCAACAGCAACTGGAGCTTAACTTGGGACGATTATTCAAATCCTGTCCAAATATCACCTGTCTGGAACAACCAAGATATAAAAAAAGTTCATTTTTTGCCAAATTGCTTTTGGAAGTCTTGGCCGGAAACGGAACCAAGTTAAGAAGAATCCCTCCATACGATTCCAGTGATCCCGATGATATTTGCGTATATGGGCATGTCACATATGCATTGAAAGATACACTGGAAGATATATATCTTTCTGATTACTTTTTAACCAAAATCACCTTTGAGCAAAACGAGGCACTAAACGAGTTGCAGATATACAAAAACCTCAAGTCGATTTGTTTTAAACTGGAAAATCATAGCAATCTTTTTACGGTCTTGGAAAAGATACAATATTGTTGCTCCTTAAGTTCTGTACGTATTTTAGCTGATTGGGACGATGATGATGTAGAAAAACATTTGGGAATCGTAGAACCTTTACATTTACAATCTCTCTGTAATGTCCGATATCTACAGATAAGTGAAATGCTGACAATCAGTTCCACATTTATCCAGTATGTTTTACGTTTGTTCCCAAACTTAAAATCACTTGAATATGCGAATGATTATTTACAAAGTATATTCTACAAGAATCGTGTTCAACGGTTATCCGCAGAAGAATGGGGACATTTTAAAACACAGGGGATGGAAATACCTAATGAACTTTGGATACAATTCTTGACATATGTAGCCTCCATGAGAGTTTGCACGATACCCTATCTGTTTGTAAGGGACATTGAGATCTTTTTCAAGGTACCCAACTTGTATGAAAACCTCCAAATATCAGCGGATGAATGGTTACCTGAACTCGATAGGGACTTCGAGGTGTATTTCAGCATCTTTTACAATACCAATGACAAAAGCAACATTCGTAGTATGTATCAGAAACAATTATACACGCCATATCGTTCTCAAATGTGACAGAAAAACACGCCTTGTTGATTGTCCAAAGAAAAACGCGATTAAGACTTTTGGGTCAAATTTAAAAGCATTGGATTTTGATGCTGGCTCACAAGGCGATGCGATCATACCTTTAGATGCAGATATTAAAAATTCGGTTGAGGATAATTTGTTTGACCTTATTTCGGATTATTGTCCCCGTTTAGATACATTATGGGTTTCAGAATGCAGATTCATATATGAAAAACAAGATTCTGTCAAGCCGATTCGATCTCTAGAACGAATCCAATTCAAGTATTGTGAATTTGATGAAGATTACCTGTGTCAGCTATCTAGCCGGTTACCCAGCACGCTACAGTTTGTAGCATTTATTGACAGTTTCGTACAAGGTCAGGAATTTTACTCGTTGTTACTATACGATGTGATTGATATGCCCTATACTTCTTTTGATACTCTGTTGTGGAAATCAGAATTTAATTATGAGCCCGCTCTCAAAGGCGAGGAAACAAGTTTCATTAAATTGACAAAGAACAAGGCTACTTCTGTCTTTTACAAAGTTTCTATGAATAATCAGCTGGTTATATCTTCGTCAATAGAATTTGAAGCTTCCAAAAATGATGATATGGTTCAAACTATTGATATACGTTGTTTCGATATCAAAAAGTTGGTTATTAAACTACCAGGCTTGCGATTTCTTCTTTACCCTGAAGAACCACACATCATATTTGACGATGATAGTGGCATGGACGTGGACGATTTTAGTGTCTTCTATTCAAACTTTTAGATACTATTAAATAAAACCACTTGTCAATTTACAAACACATACGAAGACTTCATTTTGAGGCTTCATATAAAGCAGGCAAACAGACGCTAGTGCAATTTTTTGTACAGTAAATTTTTACTGGAAAAATGTCTCCCAATTAATAACCTTCACATTATGACTTTAGTATATGTACCTCGACTTTTGATTCACTGTCAACGAAATTCAGGAACTGAAAGAAGGTCAATTATCTTTTTTTTTCAATTTGTATGGCTTTATTAAAAAAACTACGAATATTTTGTGTATAATGTATCATAATTTTAGTTGTAGCATACATTTCATGTGATTCAGGTCTATTCATGAAGCAAAGTCATTAACGCACACCCGAAATCTTTCCTTTTTTGGGATATCCGCACCCGGCACTCGACTCTGGCAGCTGAGACTCAAATATTTGGGTGTGGATATACAGTCACACACAAGTGATTTTAGCGGAATAGTAAATAAATAAATCTGAAGACTTTGTTACCACATCTTCAAATGTTAATTGCACAATGAAATAATTTGGAAAACACTTCCAATTTTTTTATATGATACTTAGTATATATATTTTCATAAAAATAAAAAAATAAAAAACGAAAATCAATATTTTGTGGGTCCACCACGGGCTTCAATTACCGCTCGGCACCAATCTGGCATACTTGAAACTAATCTATCTGCTAGTTGGAAGCTCATTTTTTCCCATTCTTCTTCTATGTCTGCTCCCAAACTACTAATATTGTTAACTGAACCCCTTCGGGTTTTTAGTTTACATTCAAGTGCCCACCAAAGGTGCTCGATCGGATTCAAATCAGGGCTTTGTGCTGGCCAGTACTCAAAGCCACTGATTTGATGCGTCTCTTTCCACCATCTTGTATACGCACCAGTATGACAGGTAGCCCCATCTTCTTGGAGTATAAAGGTCCTGTCGTTATTCTTACTCAATTCTTGGAGCCAAGGATGAAAGTTACCTGCCAAAATATTGATGTATTCATCCTAGCCAACAGTACCGTCAATGATAGTCAAAGGAACAAAACCTTTAACCCAGAAACAACCCTAGATCATAACACCACCGCCACCTTACTTCACAGTTGGTACAATATGTTTCTCTTGATACCTTTCCCCAATCTTTCTCAAAACCCTGGCACCTCCATCAGCACCTTTCACCGAGAAACGTTATTCATCGGACCAAACGACACTGCCCCACTGAATTCACATTTGTTTGTGCCCACCGAAGTCTGTTTTTCTTGTGTCTCTCTGTTAAACGTGGCTTATGTGCTGTATAATAAGATCCAAACCCAAGCTCCTTTACTGATGCGATAATAGTTGCTCTACAGACGTTAATTTCATCCCTTTGTAACTCTATATTAATTTCAGCTCAGCGTACACGGCAAATGGATCGTCCCTAATGACATGTTCAATATGTCTTTGCACCCTCTGGTCAATCTTTTTTGGTGCACCAGGTTGCTTTTTAGGCAAAAGACTATCTGCTTCCTTTATCATTTTAATACCACTTCGCACAGTGGACGATAGTACGTCAACTGTACCGGAAATGGCAGTTGGTGTTATGCTATGCTGATTTAGGTAAAAAAAAACCCAAAGTTTATCTTCTTTTGGTGGATTATAGCTACCACGATTGTTATTTGTCGAGTCAGTCAAAGGCATACCTTGTTAAATAGTAGTAATATATGCGAGAAAAAACGATTTTATTAAAAGGGGTGGTGTTAAAAAAAACGCCAAAAATAAGGTTTCGCCTAAAATCACTTGTGTGTGACTGTATTTTTACACGCGCTGATTGCACGCCAATATACACTTGAATTTTGTATCCGAGCTAAATAACGTACACTAAAAGCTCCAAATATCAGAAATTAAGTGGGAGAGAAGTGCTTGTCTTTTTTTTTCTGCTTTGGGAATCGAATTGGATGGGCGACTGACTGACTGGAAATCGAAAAGTCTTAAGAATTAAGTGGGTGTCTGACTAACTGGGAATTGAAAAATCTTAAAATTAAGTGTGCTCTTGACTGGGAATCGAAAAGTCTTACAAATTAAGTGGAAATCAACTTAGTAAAAAAAAGATAGAATGTAGTTTTTATTCTGTATTTGAAGTTGAAGAAAGAGCTAAAGATCACCCAAGAGGCTAAGAAAAGAGATACAATTTGATCTGGCACTGTCGTATATGTAATCATTCGCAGCAAAACAATGGTGAAGAAGCTTCATAGTCAGCTTAGCCATTATGATTCTACGGCATGTTCTGAGGTTGTTACTTTCTGATAACATTTACAACTTCGTCTGCAATCTTGAATCCATTAATAGGAAATACAGGAAGAGGTTCCTGGACAGCATAGGTCGTGTCATTTAAATCAAACACGTTTCGATTGTCTGTGTTCATCTCTGAATCTGATAATATCCGTATCAATATGGGCTTTTTTTTCGTATAAAGCTTCATGTGAATACACGTAAAACATACAAGTTAAATAGATTTCGTCAATGTTTATTTTATGGAAATTTTTATGTCAATTGAATTACTGGGTGTGGAAACAGCCAGAGTCCGGAGCTGGGTGTGGATATTCCAGATTCTTAAATTATTGGATTATATTTTTTTTTTTATGAACGAGACTAGATCTTTATTGTTTAAAGTCAGCATCTCGAAACGCAAATATTATTGGTCCGGACAATTGAGTGACTATGGAATAATGAATACGGGGATGGGAATTAATGTAAGGGCGAATGAGGAGGTGATAAGGAGTATTTCTGGTTTTTTGGAATGTCCATGTCCTCTTCTTGTTCTATAAGTAAAGAAGAGATTGTCTGTTGTGTACGTTTTATGGTGGTCTCTACGTGAAATGTGATGTTGCGGAAAATTTAGTTGAGGTGTGATAGCCAAACGGAGTGGATAGTCGAACCAAGCAGGTGTATGAAGTTGCAATGGGGCATAGTGGTAATCAGGCCTTGAAATTTGAGCCGGAAAATGCTTTGTATAATGATGGATTGTTGTTCATTTTTGGGTATGTCTTAAAGCTGGTTGAAGATAAGTAGTATGGAGGCCCATACAGACCATCTTTAGGCGTTTGCAGTTATTTTCAGACATAAGTCACAGCTAGGGCTGAGGCGAACATTTGGTAGAATTGGATGTAGGAACGACTTGAATGGAGCCTTGTTGTGAACCAAACGATACCATATTTTTCGTAGTGTGGGGTGTAGGCTTGTCTTCCAGAACTTAGTCCAGGCTGTAGTTATAGAGCTGTAGGAGAAAATTGTCCCGTCATGAGGTGTCGTACCAATCGATTGATATTAATTCTGATTCCTGCAAATTGTTTGATGATGTCATAAAAATGAGTCGGCGCGTGCTTAACAATGGGAGATAGGTCAAGACAATTTAGTTCAGCAGTTGTAGATGTATCTGGATTGAATGTAGTTTCTGGTGGAAGGCATTGTCAAATGAAAAATAAATTTAACATTATGGATTGTTGGTCCAGTTTTCGGAAAAAGTGTTTAATCAGCAGGGGATGATTTGTGAATGTGCGGTGCGGTTTCCGAGTAATAGGAATGCCAACACTGTCTTGGTGAAAAATTTGATGGCTAAACAGTTTGTTAATCCCTGTTTTGTGTTTGAATATGTCTTCAGTGGATGTTGGGTCGTGATGAATCCAAATTGCTGGGAGAGGCAGTTGAAGGCAGGTATATTTGTTGATTAATAAGCTGGTCAAATTTCGAGGGATTGCATCAACGGCTTGGAAGATAGAGTTGAATGGGCTGGAATGATTAGTAAGGGAGGTAGACCGATATTTGGGGAACAAAAGCGGGAGATGGTGTTCTATATTTCCATTATAGGATTGGAGTCCAAATTTGAGAAGATTATAGAGATCGGCCGGACAAGTAGTGTGGGGGACATTATTGGATTATATGTTACGCTTCATTTGGAATGTGCAAATCAATATTTATAACAAAAAAAAAGTAAAAATCTAGTCCCCTAAAGTCTTTAAAACTGGTTTTTTTAATCACAAAAATACGGTTTTTATTTATTTTTTATTTATTAGGAAGGTTAGCCTTATGCTAACACAGGTCTCCTTAATTTTCTGCCCTATCATTTTACGGTTGAGATTTCAAGATGCCTACAACGCCTACACTGGGTAACGGGTGGAGCTTCATCATATGGTCAAGACCAGCCTTAGCCATAGTATTCCGAAAATTGGAATATATCTTTTTAAAAAAGAGGTAGCATTTTAGCGTTTTTTTGAAAAAATTAAGTCGATATTAACTAACCTTTTACAATATTTTCCTTCAGAAAGATAGCCTTATGTATGAGTATGAATGTAAAGTGAAAAAAAAAAAAATGGAGAAGAAGGGAAAGAAAAAAGTGTGTGAACCGGTTTTATTTATGGACAGATAAATAAGAGCTGGGATATGTCAGGCTGATTAATCGTTTATTTGAAAAATTGGCCCCTAATGGACGGTCATAATTTTTTTTTTTTTTTTTTTTTTTTTTTTTTGCGGTAAAAATCGGTTTTTTTTAACATCCTTT